GTGCAGCTTCTCTCCATGTGGCTTGCCCCCAGGACTTTGTATGACGTGGCTCCCCTCCTGTGGCATCTGGTCCCAAAGCATTTCTTCTCTCTGTCCCGACCCTTCTCAAAAGAGCTGCATCAGAAACCCACTCACATTCAAGTTACACATTTCACACTTCCCCGTCTGTCACTGTTGAGAAAAAATAGTGGTGATTGCTGAAACAATGTGGCCTAAATATTCTTGTAAAGCACCAAAATCATATACAGATCTTACTTTAAGTTTTCTTGTAGTTGACTTTAAAACAAGGTATTTAGAAAAAAATGTGCGGTTACCCTTTATAGCATTTCATACCGGTGCGTTTAACCGCTGGGTTCAAGCTGTAGTTGGAAGCTGTAGTCCCCTTTCTGCCTTCACCGTGAACCACTGGAAATGGTCACTTTAAAATTGGTGTTTGATTCTGGGTTTTTTCCCCAAAGCCAGCTCTTTGTTGGCAGATAAATGTGTAATGTTTGAGAAATCTCCAAAGTGAATAAAAGGAAGATCTATTAAAAAAAAAAAAAAATCGTGTGTGTGTGTGTGTGTGTGTGTGTTTAGACTGAGAAGCAGGATGAGAAGTGCTTTAGGGAAATGGGTGTACAGGCTCCACTTTTGAATTATTCTCCTTATAATAACCTGGTTCTTGTCATCGAGTGACAGATCTCAAACATTTATGTCTAGTCCCAACCAAAGACTGATTTCAGTAAAGTTCCTCTAGTTAATCTGTGGGTCCACGTGTTCAAGTAACAACCCCCACATCATGCTTTGACTTTGAAAAAATCGGGCCAGTGCTGTGTTGCGTAAGGCCCAGGGGAGAATAGGGCCTGGCCCATTTGCTCACGTGCCTCCCGCGCAGTCCACTAGCAGCAAAGCACCGACACGACATTACTTCTGAATGTTTATTGGGTCCCCTCTGAGACGTTATTGGCCATTTATCGCCACAACCAGCGCAGGTTAGGAACCTGTGGCATCAGGCCAGCAGTAATTTGTAACAAAAACTATCTGAGCCTGTAGACCTGTAACAGATAGCCCAGGAGTTCACACCCCAAGGTCAAGGAAGGGCACTCTGCTTTTCCAGATACAACTTACATCTTAGGGTTTTACGTGGACAATGTTGCCCTTGTTTCCATTTGCATTTTTACCTGTTTTTGTCGTGTTGCCCTGTTTCTTTTTGAAAAAGAGAGTGTCTGAGTGACTGACTTCTTTGACTGCCCTGATGCCATTTGCAGCAATCTGAGTGTTGCTGTGGTCAGAAAGGGATTTAGCGGTCGGTGATGCTCCTTCTGGAAGGGGCCCTCTTTTGAGGTCTCTGTGGTCCAAGTCATAGGAGTCAGCCCAACCAAAGAAGATTTTTGTCGTGAGCCCCAGAAACCCTCTCCTGATAGGCACACCATGGTGAGTTGGGGCGCTCAACTTAGAGAGGCGGCCATGTTAGGTTTCCTTCCACAAAACAAAATTGTCTCAATTTACAACATTCAGCAGAGTGCATTGAAAGCCTTCTTTTTTTAGTATTAGCCCATCTTGCTTGTCCAGAATTACCAACAGTCTTGGCGGGTAGTTTCCAAAGCAATAACGAATAGGGTTTCTTCTGCGATGATGGAAGGACTGGCTGTCTCCCCCCATTTGGACAGATGGCCAAGTGCCGTGCTCATGGCCACCCTGAGACGACTTCCGTCGTTCTCAGCTTCTTCCCTCCTTGGATACCCGAGGGGCCTGCCACACCTGTGAAACTCCTTCCTGGAAGAAGATGTTCAGGAAGCCCAAAGAAAAGCTCTACTTTGTATCTGTCAGCTGTCTACAACTACAGATGACTACAGTAGATAGAGGGAAGGTATACAGTGGGCTCCCTATGCCATTATCCATGTCCCATTGAGTGCTAGCAGTGTTAGGGATCCCATGGAGAAAGAGAGAGAGGACACGGACTGAAAGCTGGCCGGAGGCATTCTGTTCCTGCCACCTGCTAGCTGTGTGTCCTCAAGCAACTTCTTCAGTCTCTCTGATCCTTTTTTCTTTCTCGGTATGTAAGCATAATCCCACCAACCTTCCTCCGGGAATTTAAAAAATCAAATGTGTTCAATGCCTAGAAATTGGTCCAGGTGCATTTATTAGGGCCTCAGAAGTCATGACAGTTACTGTTATCTGTCCCTGCGTGTTCACATGCAAAAACAGGCCCAGAGACCCGAGGAGATTTGCTCCCAGATCCCGGTGACCGTGGAAAGTGTGACTAGTGACAGAGTGAAGACATTTTAACCAAACTTGTAAAACTACAGGCATGGTTTCATCGAGGAGCACTGTAGCCAGCGGCACGACGTCTTCAATTTCTTGTTACTTTTAACGGTATTTTTTTTAACCTCTAATGCATACCTTCATTATCTTATGGTGATTGCAAGTAGACAGTGCAGACTTGGGGGAGAAATCCTAGATTAGGGTTACCAGGAGCCTGCCTGGTGGGTTCTCTATTCCGATTCTCTTTGCCGCTTGAGTTATAAGCCAGCATGCTCAAGGACCCGACTGTTGCGCGCACCCGGGAGTCACAGCACATGCGAAACTGAGTTTGGGGGGAGCCTGAAGAGGTGGCCTGAGGCCTGTGTACTCGGGTGACAACGTTGTCTACCAGTTCATTTACCAAGTATTACTCTAGTAGCTGGGCAGGCTCAGTCGCTGCTCCTCTCGGAGACATACATGCCCATAAGAGCCAAGACGCGCACCATAACTTGTTAGAAGACCCAAAAGAAAGTGCAGGGGGCTCTGATAGGCAGAGTCTGGGGCAGGCGGGGCTTCTAGGTGGGGGAGTGAGGACGGCCTTTGCAGAGGCGGTGGCCTTTGCACCTGGATCTTGAAGGTCAGGTCACCCCTGGTTGAGACTTGAAAGCTGTCTTCAGAAAACCCAACCTGTTCCTAAGTTAAGGACGCTCTTCAGATGATTTATCTGCTACGGAATTGGGAGAGCAGCCCCAACAGGTTTCACTTTTTCTTGTTTTCTTTCAAAACAGGTGCATAAATGTGAGAGTGTCTTTTGTTTGAATGAGAGCACGTCAGAAGGGGAACCTAAGATACTTGAATTAACGCCAGCCACTTTCATGCTGGATGTTAAGACCCTAACCATAAAGAAATACTGTTTCCAGCTGTGGGGCAATGCATTTAGAAGTATTTGACGACCTCGAGGTTAATCAGAAGCCATCAAATGATCTCAGATACATTGTTAATGAACTGCAGTGGGTATTATAATCCTGATTCAGCAGTCTGTAGTTATTCCAAATGGCACTTCAGTGAGCTCAGAATTCAAGGCTGAAGTAACATTCCTTTCTCCCAGAGCCACACCCACGCCATTAGTCTTTCAGCCTGCTAGAATGTTCGTCCTAAGCCATCATCGAGTGTTTGTCTGGACAGGAATTCTTTGAATGGTTGATGTAATATTTAAAAGGAAAAAAAAAAGCCCACTCAAACCCTTATACTTTGAATTTCCCAAGTGGACTGTGTTTGAACTTTTTCCACGAGCCAGGAATTTGAATCCATTGAAAATTGCTACACAAAAAGAATAGTATATTGGTTTTTTCTTAAAATGACTTATGTTAATCTTTTAAAGAATCTTCAAAAATATTTTACTGTTCCACATAGAAAGTCATCAGATGACAGCTTAATGGAGGCTCGGGAGGGGGCTTGTACTCATATTACATTTGGAACAGATAATGCCAAGTGTAGATTTTTACCCTTCCTATTAGTTTTTCTCTTAAGAAGGAACACTGGTAGCCAAAAGTTGGGAAAATTTTCTCAAGGTATACTATTTATGTAAGAGATGCTTGAGTACGACAGTGGAGGCTCTCGCAGATTTTGTCACATTGCCTTCATCTTTCTCTCTACCTGGTAATTCTCCTGCGAGAATTAAAGCGCCGCGCAATTTAAACCTCTCCCATTCCCCGTCTCATTTCCAGCAGTTAGAGAAATGCCTTTGTGCCACAGGTGTCCCCTTAAGATTAAGAAATACCCTCTTCCCCTTGCAAGAGTGCAAAGTTTGTCTTTCACAGAGCACACACAAAAAACTAGCAAAACTAAATCACCAAAATGTAAGTTCATGAGTCTGCATCACAGTTGAGGAAGGGTAACCCTTAGGGACCCTGTCAGCCAGTTGAAGCTCCCTTCCCTCCTGTCCCAGGAAAGCCTACAGAAAGAAGTGGAAGTCTGGTGTTTACTGTGTAAAGTTAATATGGGGATATTGGTATGAGTTTCATAGTACCTAGTTACAGAATGCTAAGTAACAGGGTTGAAGGGTTTTAGAAATGTTTTCTCCCACATTCATTCCATCAGAACATTTAGGTCTAAGAATTTTTTTTTAAAAGATTCTATTTATTTATTTGACAAACAGAGATCACAAGTAGGCAGAGAGGCAGGCAGAGAGGCTGGGGGGCGGGGGGAAGCAGGCTCCCTGCTGAGCAGAGAGCCCGATTCAGGGCTCGATCCCAGGACCCTGAGATCATGACCTGAGCTGAAGGCAGAGGCTTAACCCACTGAGCCACCCAGGCGTTCCCGAAGAAATAATTTTTAAATAACTTTCTCACACTGCCCATTTGATTTTCATCCCTTGACTTCTGGATTTTGATTTGAGGACACTTAGTAATGCTCACAGAGTCAGATCTTCTTAAACATTAGAAATTAATTTTGCTTGCTTTTGTAATTCCTGTTCTTATTTCAATTTCCCCCTTTCTTGCTTATATTCCTCTATATAAATCATAACCTGGAACACTTGACATGATTCAAAACGTATAATTTATTGTGGAATTTGTATTACTTGGAATTTTTACACAGTGGATTAAATAATTAGCAGTAGTTCAGCCCTCTTTCCAGGAATAAGTTATTTTAAGCGAACATGAAAAATAGCGGCCCCCGCCCCTCGCCCAGACGCATTCTGAGAAGTGGCTCCCCGGGCGCCGTGCCGCCGGTGTCCGTGGCCCCCCTATGTACGCGTGTGCTTTCTCTTCCTGCAGGCCAGGCAGTTTTCCCGGCATGAATCAGAGTGGACTTATGGCTTCCAGCTCTCCCTACAGCCAGCCGGTGACCAACAGCTCTGGGCTGGCGAGCACCCAGGCACCCCCCTACAGCATGGCGCCCAACATGGTGAACAGCTCAGCCGGTAACCCGCGCCGGCCCCGCGCTCTGGGAGCTGCCCCCCCCCCCCCTCCCGCGCTCTGGGAGCTGCCCTCCCCCCCCACTCCCCAAAGGCCTGCACTGGTGATCGGCCCCAGCGGCGGATCCTCGGGTCAAAAGGGGACACACTCAGCTCGTCTGCTGCCTGGAAACTTGCTCGGTCTATGTAAATGTTTCGAGACGCGAGGATCACATTATATTTTGTGTGAATGATTTGCGCGGCCTCCGTGATATTGTAGTGGGTGGGCACGTTCCAGTGACCCTGGGGACTGCCCGCTCCATGTCTACGCTGAGTTCTTCTTCTCGTGGGGCATCATTCGAAGTCTTGGAAGGTCCCCCGACAAAACCAGTGCTCCCTTCGGTGCGAGTTCACCTTCCGGAGGAGGGATTGAAGGGCAGAACCAGGGGCGTTGAAGTACTTTTGCACCTTGAAATACATACCCGGAAACAGTCGTTCGTAAGCGCTGTTTGCAGAGCGTCTCCAGTGAGAAAGTCTATATTATTTTCTTAATGGATTGTTTTAAATTTTCCATCGTGTTTAACGTTTTCAACCCCCTTGGTGATGTCAACAACTGCGTTCTTACCAAAGCCCGTCCGGTGAGTGCAGTAAGGGGATACGTTTGTGGAAACACCAGGAATGTCTACACCTGTGCCAAGAGTCCATGTTCTCAGATTGCGTAGGCCCTGAACCGCCTCCCCACGCCCCTCACTGCCCAGCGGTTGAGGAGCGCTGCTCTTGAGAAGAGACTGTGGGTCGTAGCGGACCTGTCACTTTCTAACGCCTGTTGGAGAGGCTGGCGCTGTCCCAGGGAGGATGCTCTCCTTGGATGAATACAGAGCACCGTGTAGCCGGTTGTGTGCGCCCCGTGAGGTTTCATGATGTGTTAGGGAAACACCGTGGAGTTAGAGGCCTGGCCCTTTCTTACTACCTTTTCTCATTTCCTCTGCCTTTCGCCACCCTTCTTGGGGACTTTGAAAGGCCACCCCAGGAGCTGTTGTTTCTTTGCTCCAGGCTGGGCCTGCATCCTCTCTGAGCTTCTGACTTGTTGGTTTTCAGGGTCTCATTTAATAGTGCCCTTCCCTGATTACGCCTCTTTAAAAGTGTGTGCAAGAGGAAGAACGAAACTAGCGGCGAAATGGAAGGTTTTTAAATAACTAGAATAGTCCTTCCTGCTTTTGGTCATTCATCCCAGCAAGGTGGGTGTTGTTACGTTTGAGATAAAAGAGGACAGTCTTCGACAGTCTATTAGCCGGAAGCTTCCCCTTCCCTTCTCAGCACTGTCCCAGGTAACAGTGTATTTGGGTTACGACATTACGTGTTTCTCTGGCTCGTCGAAATAAAATTACCTCAGAGCATTGAAACTGCACAATAAATTTTCACCTCCTATTAGCAGTACTCATTTTTCCCTTTTTCCTTTGGACCCCAGAGCCACAAAAATAACCAGCCACAAGTAGATGGCACCGTGCCCTGCCTAAGAAGATTTATGTGTTCCTGGGGAATAACCAATTTAATGGAAATTCACAGAGAGGGTTTCTTTTCATTATTATTATTATTCAGATAATGCAGCTCTTCGTTACTTCCTGCAGAGGAAATCTGTTCAATGAGAGGCTGTTTAGCCTCACAGTCTAGTATGGGCTAGTAAAAATTTTTTTTATTGCATTGTGTATTTCGAAACATTGAATTTTTAATAATTTAGACATTTATCAAATTTTCTCTACACATTTAGGTGATTTTATTCCAGCTCTATACATCAGATGCACCCTGATAGAAAGTAGTCATCTAGCTAGCACATCCAAAGAATATTAACGAGTTAGCATATACTGTGTGTCTCCTGATAGGCGCCCATTAAGCTGCCGTCTCTATGTTACAGTCTGTGAGGGAAACAGGAGTGGCAAAGGAACCCATAAGGTTACCGACTGGCTCCTCATGGGTTTTGGTCTGAAGGTCCTTGACTTTTTCTAGAGTTGGGCCCCAAATGGCTTCGATCATCATCACATCAGTCTACTTGTTTTGGGCCCAGGCGGATCAATGACCGGTGATAAGGGCAGAATGTGTTCTCTCTGTAAGGGCACTTTTGGAGAAGGCGCACATAACACCCCTGATGTCCAGGGCTGGCAGTGGGATTTGCTGAACCTCGACAGCTTATGCAACTGGAATTCCAGCATCCTCTTTGCGGAGTTCAGGCAGTTGTGATATAGACGGGGTTCGGGGCCAAAAAACATCTTCCTGTGTAGTGACAAATTGTTACAGGCTTCAGTGAGCAAGTAATTATTCAAATGGAGTCAGTGTGAGTATGAATGTGACAACTATTTCTTCATTTTAAAATGCAGGAAATGTGGGGTGCTAAGCAGTGGGGGGGATTTTTTTCCCTCTAAAGGAGCTTTTTTCAAAAAAATTATTTGCATTAAAAGATTAGAATTAGATAATGCAGTGGGCAGAAGTATAAGTCACGTATAGCCCTGTTAAATACGCCCTTTTATAATCCTTGTGTTATTAGCTATGTTATACTTCTTTGTGTTTCCTTTTATAATATTCCTTAGTTATATGCTTGTCTTCGTATAAACCATCATCTTCAGAGAAGACATCTAAATTCCAGAAAATCTATCTGCCATCTGTGGTTCTAAGTTTGCCTCCCTAGAAGCCACTCTGCAAAATATAGGGCATTTCCATCTGTATAACCTCCGGATAGTAAAGCAACAGCCATATACTCCTGTAGGCAGGCCTTCCTCTTACACAAGAGCCCTGTCGGGATTCCAGATCTTTCCGCCAACCTACCACGGCTCCATCCCACAGGTAGTGTCCCATTGACATCCTACCAGTATGGGGCAGACTAGGTCCGTTAACCTTCACAGAGGAAAAAAGGCAAGCTCATTACCACGGGATCGACAGCTTTCTTCCGTGTTCTCAAAAATCAAGAACCACGTGTCACCCAGAATGCTTGTTAAAACTACAGATTTCGAATTTCTGGACGGTGCACAAATCTCTGTTCCTAACAGACGCCTCAGGTAGCTTTCATAAGTGCTCGCTAAAGCTTAAGAACCCCGATTTGGAGGTACTCGGCTCAGCAGTCTCCTGGCAGAACCATGCCCGCTTGTGGGGCGTTAGCTACTTACCAGATAATTTGCTGTTTTGAAACTTTTAAAACTTTTAAAAAGCTACAAAACCATGGCTTGCATATGCATCCACCAGACAGATAGGTGGTGACCGTCTTGAGACTTCAGGGTCCTTCTCTAAGGACCTTTTGGCTCTTGAGCACTGTGTTGACGGTTGGATGTCCAAGTGGTTTCTAAGATTGTTGGGGTTTTTGTTTGCTTGCTTGCTTGCTTGAAGTGAATGATTTTTGGTGAACTGCTGTCCTCCCTCCCCGATCAAAGATATGGGCGGTGTAATAAATGATGAAAACCTTTTCTCTTTAAGTGGGCAGAATGCAGACTGGGATTATGCCGAGTCGGTTGGTAGCCCTGGACTTGGTCGGTAGCTGGGGCTTTCTTGAGAGCACAGCGGGCGTGCTGGGTGTGCTCAGGCTGCATGTTTCCTTGGGCTGCCTGTCCGGAGAGAGGGGGCACGGGTGGCAGTTAGGGTGGTGTGCCTCTCGCTCACACTGCCCCCATGGAGGTACGTCATGGCCAGGGGTCGAAAGGTTCTTGCCAGGCTTCTCCCATATCCTCCATACGTGTCACGTCCACGGTGCTTTGCTCTGTGTGCCCCATATAACGAGAGTCATGCCTGCCCACAGACGTGTACACCTTGAAAGGCCCTCCCGTGTTTTCCAAAACAAGGAATAAAAGATTCTGTGGAGGGTGCACTATCGTTTACTGTGAAAAGAACAAACCGCGTGTGTGCTTCTGGTCCCATGTCTCCATCTTCCAAGAGTGACTTGGCCACCTTGCAGGAAGACTGAGTAAAGAAAGCTGAACGAGGAAGAGCGAGTGTTTGAGTCCAGTTTTGCTCACACCATACGTTCTTTATGTTCCTCTTGAATATATTAAATCCAGGGCAGAATGGCTGCCTTAGGACCTTGACCCACACTTACTTTAGGAAATCATTCTAGCTCTTAAATTTCAGTGGTAAAGCCAAAGGCTAGCACTTGAAATGTATTTACAATACTCACACAGCACTTTCTGCAAGCCCGAGTTCTTTACTGCCCCCTTTTTATGTCTGAACTTTACATACTGGATTACTGATGTCAACAGGAGAAAAAACGGGGCCTTGATTAACACATCCTTAAAACAGTGGTGGTCTCTCTCTTCTGGGAAAGGAGAAGAAAAAAATAGTGCCTCTGGAGTGTCATTGCCCTGAGAGGCATATAGTGCTTTGCAGTGATTAATTGAGAATTCTGGTAAGAAGTCAAAAATAAGCATTTCAACAAAAGGAATAGTAAAAGCCACAGTAAGGAAAGGCCTTATGATCCATTTAGTAAAATAAAATTTGCAGTGTAAGGCAAGAGTACTAAATACAACTATTCTTCTCAATTCTATCCTTATTTATCTCCCAAAATAATAAAGCAATGCCACTTTTGACCATTTTTTATATTTGCATATCCTAAATGCCCATTTAAAAATATATAATAGAGAAGAGGTTTGGGGAACTTCAAACCACCATATATGCTTAACTTCATCTGAGTCTGATTTTTTTAAGTCAGTATAAATTATTATCATTCATTATAACAATACATCTTGGCCTACCTCTTTTTTTTTTTTAAGTTTTTTTTTAATTTATTTGACAGAGATCACAAGTAGGCAGAGAGGCAGGCAGAGAGGGGGAAACGGGCTCCCTGCTGAGCAGTGAGCCCAATGCGAGGCTCGATCCCAGGACCCTGAGATCATGACCTGAGCTGAAGGCAGAGGCTTAACCCACTGAGCCACCCAGACACCCACCCCTTGGCCTACTTCTTCATGCTTAAAAATGGTTCATGGGTATGTTAACACATTGAATGCACAAACACAAATATTACTATTTTCTGTCTTTCAACAGTAATATTTAGGCATAACTTATTACAAATGCTAACAGAACTATTCATTATAACCTATGGAGGGGCAGGCCTTCACAGAAGCCGTGTGTCCGTGACTTTGCAACATTCTCAGGATGGCGTGGCTGTCATTCCTGTGTGACAGCTCTGTGCATAACTAGCGAGGACATAGGGACTTTCCTGAAGAAGCTCCTCTTTCCACACTCGTCCCGCTCTTTTTCCCCTTTCTGTTCTTCTAAAAAGGGTGTTTCTCAGTGTACAGATTTACTCATTCCCCCAGCGCTAGACCCCGGAGAGAAGACTGCATGAAAGCAGCCCAGGGCTGTGAGCGGGGCGGTCCTGGGGCGCTCTCTCTCAGCTGCTTTTCTGAGGTTTCACACATTCACAAAAATAACGGCATTTTTAGCTGATCCCAATAGATTTTTTTCTCTGCAGCTGCATCACTTGAAAAAGCTTTTTGTTCCAGTTCTTAAAGTCTAAGTATTGAAAGTAATTTGGAAAAAAAAAAAGAAAGAAAGAAAGAAAAACATCCCAATTATGATTTGTGTGCGTGGTGATGACTTCAAGGGCTGACCGGGCGCGGACCGGCTGGGACCCGCGCACCAGCATCCCGTGGAAAAGACGGGTGCGTCCCCGGGCGTCCAAGCGCGCTGCCGGACTCCTGGGCACGTGGCAGGGTCGGCTTTTTTGGCAGGACCTCTGGTCTCAACCTGCCGTGATGCTAACGATATTAGCAAATTAGCACGGCAAAGCTTGCCAGCTAATTCGCCAGAGCCCTGCTCGCTCTCTCGCTGCTGTAATTAAAACTAATTATTTTCTAAAACATAGTAATACATGAATATGTACAATAATCATTTTGTAGTGGGCAATCTGTGGAGCCTTTTTTAAAGCTGCTGCTTCTTCTCTTTTTCTTTCTTTTTTTTTTTTTTTTTCTTTTTTTTTGGCACATTATGCAACACACGCACTGCCTGGGAGGACCCAGCACTTCTGTTTGCAGAGTGCAGAACGGGGCCTGTGCATAGAACCTCACGTTTATTTTGTGTTGAAACAGGAATGTTTGCTGGCTTTCACTCACTGACAAGGCTCTTCATTCTCTCCGCTCTCCCTTGTCTGCTTCCGTCTCCCCTCACACATCTGTTTGGTGTCGCGCTCCCAGCCCAGCGCTGTGCAGATGGTTGTCACAGTGGGGTTCTGTAGAAATTCAGCTGTTAGTCCCCGGATGTCTACACTGATTCCCTACTGTAGCCTTGTTCTTCCTTTAAAAAGAAAGCCAGACCCTCCTTCTTAACTCTGAAATGTCTCTTCGTGTTCGTAATAAATGGGTACAAATCAGTTGTTCCTTGGTGAATCTTTCCTTCCAAATCCTAGATGACCTTGATTGAATTTCTGAGCTTTGACATAGAAAGTGAGTTTTGCCGGGAATCGTGACGTTGACTCTTGAGCAGGTTGAGCAGGTTGGGGGGTCTGACCTGGGCAGAGCGCCTGCTGGGCATTAATAAATGTACACACAGCCCCAGACCGAAAGGAAACCGGCCCCGTTGTAAAATCATTACAGATCCTGTCCTTCGAAGATTACTTTTGTTTCTTGTTTTTCAAGTCACTTGTTAGGACTGTTTTCCATGACTGCAGCCTAGGCCGTGTGTGCTAGTTAAGCTTTAAAATGAAACAATAGAAAATGGCGAGTGATTTTACAAACTGTAGATGCTGTAAATGCAGGACATTAAGAAAACATGAAATCTTCCAGTCACCAGGTAAAAAATACACACACCCGGCATTTCCTTTCATACCCGATGACGCACCGAAACATTGGACTTACCGCCCCTCGCACCTGCTCTATTAAAGCTATAGTAATTTTGAAAAAATAATATTGATGCGAGTTGCCTTTCAGGGGCTTGGGTGTCGGGTAAATGATTGTGGTCTTTTTGTCTTTGGGATTTTTTTTTTTTCTTTTAAGTTACAAAAGGACTGGCAGAATGCCGTGCTGTGTAGGTCTCAGAGAAGGGGTGTGCTCTCGGTCACCATCTCTCCTCTCTTCTTCCTTCAGGGGAAATTCAGGTGTCCCACGCGTGTCTCGGTAACCGGGGTTAGCAGGAGCACGGCCCGCTGCCTCACATGTATAATCCTAAACTCTTTCTCCTGTTTTCGATTAGCATCTGTGGGTCTTGCAGATATGATGTCTCCCGGGGACTCCAAGCTGCCCGTGCCCCTCAAGGCCGACGGGAAAGAAGAAGGCACTCCACAGCCCGAGAGCAAGTCGAAGGTACTTCCTTTCTCCTCTGCACGCGGTGTGGGGCCTGCCTCGCTGCGGCTGCCGTGGTGTTCTGGTCACTGGTGTCGGCCTCCACTTTTGTTGCCATTTGGTTTCTTCTCTCGTGCATGCCTCCATCTCGTGCGCCATGTCTGTAGCTCTCCTCGCTCTCTCCTCGCTCTCCCCCCCCTCCATGGTGTGGATCTGAAAGTTACTAGTTCTTACGGCATCGAACTCACGGTCGTGGGAGAGGGGCGGAGGGACGAGACCCACCGGAGAGAGGCGCTCTGGGGGTGGGGAGAAGGAAGGGGTCCTGCCTGGTTTTGATACTTGCAGCCATTTTCTCTGCCTTCAGTTTATAGCTTCCTGTTTTGGCCGCCTCAGCAACAACAACATACTTAATATTTTGCTTTCCTGCCTTATTTGATAAATAAGGTGAACAGCTTTTTTTTTTCCTTTTCTTTCTTTCATAAGGGGTAACCCATGCTTAGCATTCCATGTAAGCTTGAAATAAGCATGGTGGCTTAGTGGCCTTATCCAGCATCCAGCAAACTTACCAAATTATACTAATTAAGAATGTTGTTTTAATACCTTTATATGTGTGTGGTTTTGTGTGTTTGTCCATGTCTTTATATATATCCATTATATATAAAAATTAGTATGTTAAACTGGATGTGCTTTTCGTTATTTTAAATAAAGTTTGCCCTACCTTTGTCATTTTTTTTTTTTTTTATTCCTCTACCACAGGATAGCTACAGCTCTCAGGGTATTTCTCAGCCCCCAACCCCCGGCAACCTGCCAGTCCCTTCCCCAATGTCCCCCAGCTCTGCTAGCATCTCCTCATTTCATGGAGATGAAAGCGATAGCATTAGCAGCCCAGGCTGGCCAAAGACTCCATCAAGCCCTGTAAGTGGCTCTGGTTTTTTTGTGTGTGGTTTTTTGTTTTGTTTTGTTTTGTTTTTGTTTTTGGGGTTTTTTGATAATTAATTCTACTTTAATGCTTGCTTATTTATTTGTTTTATAAGACTTTTTCTTCATAATTTATCCGTGAAAGGGTTTTCTTGATAATTATGTCAGTAACGAAATGAGTAACATTTATGTAAATCGTAGAAGTTGATTTCTGGTAATGAAACGGTGTTATAAAGGAACACCTCTATACGAAGCATGCGATTGTGTTACTGGGTCCAAACTCCTTCACACAGTGACTTTGTTTAAATGTCTGATCTGTTGTGCACTTATAAAGATCTTCAGAATGAGCTACTTCTCCATTTACATGGGAACTAATAGCAGCCACGGAATAAATGACAAATTTGACCTTTGGCCTAAATCTTTCATGGGCTTTTGTATCTGAAACATCTTATTTCAAAACTGCCTACCTGAAAATAGAGATATTACGCTCTGGGCACCGGTTAGCATAACATCAGCCCTGCTTTGTTTCAATCCACCTGTCAGAAATTAACAGAAAAGTGGTAGAAATGTTACCGCGTGTGAATATTTGGAATGCTACTTTTGGATTAATAATGTGTACCTACATTAGAATCAGTCGAGATAGAAAAATTCCCTCGTGTGCAAGCCTGCTGATCGTCTTGAAATTAAGTGTTGATTTCCATATGATACGTAAAAAAAAATTTTTTTTTTAAATGGTAACGAACATATAAGGGAATTTTTTAAGCCTTAATGTTTTCCTGTCCATAGAGCTTGGTCTTCATTTTCCTACTGAAGAAATTAATTCTGTGCCATTTAAAAAAAAAAAAAAAAGAAGAAGAAGAATGGCACTGTAGTAACCTTTATTTTACATTCATATAGGGAATCAAAAGATCTGTTTAAAAAAAAACTTAACATGCAATTACTTGCCAAGAAGGCTTAATTAACACTCTAATTTTTGTAAGACGACGTATTGAACAGTACAGCTCAGGAAAAGCAAGTTGGAGGGAAGAAGACTATGTGCAGAATCTGGCAACCTAGTCAAAACCCCAAAAGGAGGCTGCTATTAATTATCCATTCACTGGTTTAAACAGATAGAGCTGAAGGTTTGAAGGGTTGGTGGTTCCAGTAAATGTTTGTAAAATTCATGTGGAGCTCTAGCATAACCAGCATTTTCCTTTTCAGAGGAAGAAAGGGCGATACTCGCTGTTACCTTCTCTGTAGACATGTTTCGCTTTTGCAAAAACCAAGATGAAATGAAAAATGCTCTAGGGCGGGTTAAGCAGAACTAGCAGGAAGGAGGAGTGCAAAGCCTGCATTTTGATGTCCTTGTGTTATTGGCTTTGAGTCTCAGAAGGCAGCCAGTGTTATGGGTGTTTTTCCCATAACATACCCCAGTGTTGCGTTTTGTTTTGTCTTCATCATAAGAAAAGCATTTTTGAATCAGCCTACTCTCAGGTTAACAGGTGGAACTCAAATTACAACTTTTTGAAAACATTTGTATGTTGGCTCGGAGGGAAAAAGTTCAGAGGTTGAAAATAATAATCTTTAAAACCTTAAGGTAATAATTAAGCATACTAATTAGACTACTAATAGATGATATTACATGTTTAAAAATTCCACCTTATGAAAAAATAAATTAAAAAATAAATAAAAATGCCCCATTACCGACTCTGGATTTATAAAGATTGAGTGAGATAGTTATGATATTTTAACTTAATTAATTAGCTCCCGCCATACAATGAGTCCTTCGGGAAAGAAACTTCTATTCCAAAAAAAAAAACAACACTTTCCACTAAAATAGAAGAAAAAAGTAAAATGAATTGTTGACTTCATTAAACAATTATGCTTAAAACTGCATGCTGTTTTTCCCTTTTTCCTAAATATTTCCACATACACTGTCTCTTCCTGTACCATACCCATTTTATATGTAAGAATTTATGGGGCACCTGGGTGGCACAGTTAGTTAAGCGTCCAACTCTTGGTTTCAGCTCAAGTCATGATCTCAGGATCTTGGGATCGAGCCCCGCCCCCAAGCTCTGGGCTCCAGGCTCTGCTCAGAGTCTGCTTGTCCCTCTCCGTCTGCCTCTCCCCACCCCCGGTTCATGCTTGCACACTCTCTCTCTCTAAAATAAATAAAATCTTAAAAAAAAAAAAAAGAATTTACAAACAAGCCTATGGCTCCAGTGGTAGAGAGGGACAGAGGAGCTATGGTTCAAGGTAGGCTCTGTATTCAGAACATGGTCCCTGCCTTGAATGAGATGCTAATTTAGGAAGGGAACCAAAAGCGATTGTGGAGGGGTGGACCTGAGAGCATCTCTGCTGTCAAATCACTGTTGGCATCACACAGTTTAGGAATATTTGACTGTCCTTTCTGAGACACAACTTCAATCTGTACTTCAGTCTGTACTTGTCGCCCTTCCCAGTGTCTCCGGTAAAACCTGTCTCACCGCAGGCCAGAAACGGACTACATGATGAAGATGTTCCGTGCTTTGACAGGGTGCTATGGACCAACATTGTTGTGTTACAGAACATTCTAAAATAAAAATAAACATTTGCACATACACATATTACCGGGCATATGGTAAAGACTGCTGAAATGTAAATCTGCCTGAAAGATTTGAGGCAAACTGTACTTATAGACTTAATTAAAATATACGCAAGGAAAACATTTGTGGTGCCATGAAGTCCTGCTGCAGTCTTTCGGCACCCCCCCCCCCTTTTCTTTTCTGGAGTCCACAACAATTTTGGGCCCTAGGATCCAGTATTTACAACACTGAAGCAGCGTGAGGTGGTCCCAGGGACCTGGAAGGGTCATCCCATCTTTCTGCAGGGTGAGTTTGTTGGCCCAAGGTTAGTGGGGAAAGTATCCAGTGACACCTATCCAAAGGTTACATCAGAGCTAATGTCTCTGAGCCAAAGAAAGTTCATGTTGAGCCTAATCAGCAATAAAGTATATACCTTTATTTCCTAACACTTTTGTTTCTCTTAATGTCCTTTTTCTCTGTTTGGACGCCCACATGCTAACTTTGGCCGTTGGCTAGGAAACGGACCTTGAGCCTGGGAGTGGAGGTGGCAAGTGCCCACCATAGGCATGATGATCGCTCCTGTTTCCAGTCTCGTTAGATTGCCTCCGCGTCCACTCAGCACCTTGCTCCCTGAAATCCTGTGTATGGGATATTGTATTCAGCTGTGAATTCTTCCTTGGAGGGTGCTAGACTTCTCAGACATTTCTCATCCAGTCAAGTACCCGGTCCCAGAACGGATTCGACGCCAGCCACCTCCAGTGTGCAGTCACCGTGGGTCATTCAGAATCAGCACAGACCCTGCCTTGTGGGAGTCAGGAAAACGTAGGGCACACCAGTAATCCATGCAAAACATACGCTTTTTATAAGCTGTGTAACCAAGGGCCACTGAGGACAGTGATGTAGACAGAGGAGCCCCAGGTGCCTGGGAGGCCTCTTCCAGGACCTTACACGTCACCTGAGTCCCAACCACATTCTTTCATACAGATGCATTTTCCTACATTATGGTGCCATAAAAATCCATAAGTCTTTTTTGGAGATCTAAAAACGATGCTCTGCAAAACAATACAATTCAGTTTAAAAAAAACATTGTTTTCATTAACCTTTTCTGACTTTATGAGAATGAACTGAGATACTCAGAAGTTCATTAAACTCCGGTTCCTTGAACAAAGAACAGCAAGAAAAGTGAAAATATATATAGCCAAACTAAGTGTACTGTTACTTTAGGCCCATCTGAGGGTAGGGGATACACTCTTCATAAATGGGAACAACATCAGCAGAGTCTCCCTGCTCAGGTCCTGATTAACTGTCCTTCCAGAAGCCTCCCCCATTCTGGCTTTGGAGGGGACCAGGCCAGAAGTGGCAGGTGGAGCGTCTGTTCAGAATGTTGGTAGAGCCTCTCAAAATAGTTTTAAATTGAAATGATTTCTTTCACTTCTCTTACCCTGAATGGAATGTCAGACTTTTACTTCTCAGTTTTTCAAAAATGAAATGCAATGGGGAGGTTGCTGGGATTTTTTTTTATTATTATTGATTTTAAGTAATAATGCTTTTCTCCTCTTGTTCTTATTTCAAATTTTCATTTTGAAAAAAAATTGGACCCATTTTTTATTGCTCCCCAAAAGGAAAAATATTTTCAAACTAGCATTTAGAAACCTCTTCGTAATAACTACCCCATCAGTGATGACAAAACTTCTGAAATGTGGTAAAAATGCAGTAGGACAGTTATTTTCCTAGTCAAACATTCCTTGGGTATAAGAACATGGAAAAAAATTTTAAAAACTTATCATTTGAATATACAGTGTGTTCCATATTCTGAGTATGTATATGGATGTGTAGCTATATATATGAATATGTGTATATATTTTTAAGCTCAAATCTAAAGTAATTTTTAAGTGACTTTCTGTTTAGCCTTGGCATCAGTATAAATTCTAAAAGGTCACACTTTTTTAATCTTACCACCCTAAATTTTTTATTTACATCAACTGGTATCACCCATTTTTTGAGTGTTTAATGTAAAGATGTTATGCCTCAGTAATTCTGAGTCTGAAGGCTTAAAATTTCAGCAGCAGTAGCTCAAGAGAAGTACACGTTAATTAGGGGAGAAGCTGCCACTCACCCAGCTTCGTTAGTCTCATTCTCAGGCATCCTTTCTGAGGTCCTACTTTTATTGGGGATCCTTTGCAAATAAGGCAACTTCAAACTTAAGTGGCAGTCATGTTATTTAACCCCCCAGAATTTCAGCTATGCATTTAAAATTGTTAAGCTGAATATAATGGAAAAGAGTTAAGAAGAACTCCCATTTAAAATAACGGCTATCCATTGCAAATGATAGCTGGTAAATACACATAAGAAAATGAAGTCAGTTCTTGTTCCAAGGAAATCTTTATTGAGAATTTAGAAGTGATTTTTCACAATAACCCTGAAGTTGCACATACTACAAGTACCCAAATCATTGTTACAAATACAGAGACATAAAAGAAAAGAAAAACAGACACTTGGGCTGTTTAGGACCAGAAGTCTTAAACTTTCCAGATCCCATAACCCAGAAGGTGGGTTTAAGTTATGCAGAAACAGTAACTTTTAACATTTTAGTATCATATAATTAGGAAAACAAAGAATTAGAGCATCAGAATAAACCACGTGAGCCCATAAACCCATGTGTGTAAAAGTAAATGTATATTTTTATCCATAGATGTTCAGGGAGTATGAAATAGCACATGTGTTTGTGATTAAAGCATGGTTGCCTATGAAGTCTGTTAAAATAATTCTCTAGGAGCCCCTTGCCTTGGCAGAGAAGTTCAAGAAATCTTAAGTAAGGGAAGCTAGTCATCATGAGTAAATGCCAGAACTTTAGCTGGACACTAGTCTGTAAAGCTTGCAAATGAGCATAAAGCCCACACCACGGGTTCCTGGGATCTGGGACCTACCTTAAATTTTCTGGCAAGTCCCATATCGGCTTTCCTCCATATGCTTTAGCATTTTAATGAGGATAGACATTAGCCATTCTTTTTTTTTTTTTTAATTTTTTTTTCAAAGGTATTTTTTATTTATTTGACAGAGAGAGAGAGAGAGAGGGGTCACAAGCAGGCAGAGAGGCAGGCAGAGAGAGTGGAGGAAGCAGGCTCCCCACTGAGCAGGGAGCCAGACATGGGGCTCGATCCCAGGACCCCAGGGTCATGACCCGAGCCAAAGGCAGAGGCCTTAACCCACTGAGCCACCCAGGTGCCCCTTAGCCATTCTTATTTTGACAAGAAGTAAGAGTCCATATAGTTTTGGGGGCTCTATAATAGGACATCCATGTGAGATTTTAAATTCACTGTGGTTATTCTATGAGCGAGCACCCTTTTATTTTTAAAAATGACGTGAGGTATCATTGGAATCATGCCTTCTGGGATTCAACGCTTGTATCAATCAAGTTTTTAAAAAAAGGGTTTTGGTTTTTTTGTTTTTGTTCTTTAAGTATATTAAGGGGGAGTTTGGGCCCTTTATTTAAAGTCAAAGTAAAGTCTTAATTATAAGAAAATGTATAGTTTGTGCCTGAACTAGTAGCCTTCATTCCTAATTGTTGTGTGATAGCAGTAGTTTTTAAATTTCTTCTCTTCTTGTATTTGGTAGCTCATTACTTTCTTCTCACCTTCTTCCCTTTTCCCTCTGCCTGCCTGTACCACCCCCCCCCCAAATGTTCTTTCTGGGCACTAGAAGTCCAGCTCTTCCACCACCACTGGGGAAAAGATCACAAAGGTGTATGAGTTGGGGAACGAGCCAGAGAGAAAGCTATGGGTCGACAGATACCTCACCTTCATGGAAGAGAGAGGCTCGCCCGTCTCGAGTCTGCCCGCCGTGGGCAAGAAGCCCTTGGACCTGTTCCGGCTCTACGTCTGCGTCAAAGAGATCGGAGGTTTGGCACAGGTGAGAGTGCGTGAGTGAGCCAGCGAGGAGACACGTACAGAAGCTCTCCTGCAGGGTTCTCTGAATGTGCAGACTCAAACTTTGTTTTTTTCCTTCCATAAGGAAAAGCTAAGCCTAGGGGCTCCGTGTCGGGGTGCTGCAGGGGAGAACACTAGAGCTTGGGACCCTGGCGCTGTCACCAACTCGCAGGGGGACCTCGGTCCATTTCTGTGCACCTCTGTTCTCATCTGTAAAGTCGGACAGCTGGGCTAGATCTTCCTTTAGGTTCTCTGACCGCTCTAGAATTGCATGGGCTCTGCCAAGATGCCACAGGAAATACTCCAGAAATGTTTCACAAGTAACCAAATTAATTGTCTGGATCCGTTGTAAATGCAGTTGGCTCTCTCCCTCTGTCCAGAGCAGTGGATTAAGAAAACGACGTCCCATATCCAGCAGCACATCCCCAGTACCGGGGCAGGAAGAGGGCCAGGGCTGTGCGGTGCCGACCCTGCCCTGGCCTCTCGGAGCCAGTGTTCGCTTTGTCTTGTACCCCGGGGGCCCACGCCTTCCTCACGCTGGTCCTGGCACTGTTTTCAGCAAGGAGTCTAGTTCGGAACACAGTGTCCTGCAAGAGGAACGGGGAAAGGGTGTCCCCGGAGTCATGCTCAGCGTGCTGGGCACTGTGCTGTCCCTTTGTTCTGGCTGTGGCTTTCTGTATACCCATAAAATACAGGGGGCATCAGCCCCCAAGAGCAGAGGAAGCTGTAACAGGGTGAGGTGCCATCATGTGGCCCAGGGGCACCCAGGGTAGGTGCGGCCCGGCCTGCTGGCTCTGAGACGTGCACTGTTCCCATCCACCAGCAGCTCTCAGCCTGCTTCTCCATTAGAAGTACTCAGGAAGCTTTAAAAACCTGCCCGTCCCTGGGCTCCTATCCAGATCAATGAGAGGAGCAGCTGTGGGACCCGGTGGTCTAGTGTGCAGTGTGGCAGCCCACGTTCCAGCCAGGTACGGCGGGTCGCCGACCATCCCAGAGTGAGTCCCCTCATGCACAGGGGTCAGTGAGGGCCTGCCCCGGTCTCAGTGCTGTGTGGCTCTGGGGGAGGCAGGAGAGACCTTTGTTCTCAGCTGTCCCTGGGGGGCCGCAACCCACCTGCGGTGTGCAGCCCAGACAGGGCCTGATTCCAGGCTCTGCGGAAACGGATGGTAAGTCACACCGTGCGGACCACGGGCTGAGAGTTGGTCCGTGGAGGGAGAGCTCAGGACGCACACCTCTCCCCGCACCCCGACCCCCTGGCCTTTCCCCTCTGCACCTGACCCCCCGGGCATCGATTTTTAGAACCTTCAGGACACTGGACAGTGGCCTTTAGCCTCACAGAAGTACAGAGTGTGTCCAACGCCTTACTTGGGACCTGCCGGCGGTGTGGGCTGCCGCGCTGGTCTGCAAGTAAGGCTCGGAGCGGCCTGGCTAACGGGCGGCTGGAGTGTGGCTGGACCCCACGGCGGTGAGCCGCTCGGCCGCATCGTGGCTCTCACCCCGTTGTGATTTCTGCCCGGGGGCCCGCCGGAGACGGGTGCAGGGCCCTGCTTGTCAGGGTGTCCCAGGCAACGCCCTGCCCGGCCCTTCCGAAGCCGTCCACGGGCGTGCTTGGCACGGCCAGGCGTTAAGTGCCCGAAGCGGAATTGGGCATTTCGTGAGCTTTCTGAGGTTTGCTTATCACGTACCATTTAATACTAAGTAAATGGACGTAAAGAGCTTTGGGAGAAAGTTCAAATCCAAAAATGAAACATTTCATTTAAAAACCACTGTCCCTTTAACCCTCACCAGGCTACTTAGCACAAGGCGCACATACCTGAAGGCAGAAGAGGCCTGGGGATTTGCAGGTCCGCGTGTTGCCTTCAGCCATTCAACCTCCGGTGACTCTGGCCCAAGCAGGAATCAAAAGTTAATGCCCCAAATCCTCCTGTAGCATTTCAGGCTTTCTCTCCCTTTTTTCCCTTCCCTTTGCGGCTGCCTTCTCTGCGCCGTGAGGGTACCTGGGAACCCCATGTCGTCCCCTGGGCTTGCTATGTCGGCTAGCTGGTGGCCTCGCAGAGCCACCCAGGGCTGATGGCTGGTGCGGGCTGCCCCCAGTGTCACCTCTGCCCAGCACCCTAGGAGAGCTGCCTGGGGAGAGGAGGGACGCGGGCTAGAATTACAGGCTCGTCTTTCCAGGAGCCTGTGGCAGTTGGAAGGAAGCACTGTTTTTCATATCAAGGCTCAAACACTTAAATTGCAAAATAGTTATGTTATTGATTTTTAAAATTCATTTTCAGATGGCTTTTTTCCTTTTTTTTTAGATGAGAGGTGGGACGGGGATAGGGATGAGCGGGAGCAGGGGGGAGTGTACACTTGCTCAGAGAACATCGCTGGCTCGGAGCCGCAGCGGCCTGGAAGAGTGTGAGGCATTAGAAGGTGCACGAGGCAGAAGAATCTCGACGAGCAATGCTTTTTATGTAGCTATCAGCAGGTCCCTTAATGGTTTTATAACTGTAAATGCTGTCTGTGCACTACTGAGTGGGAGTAATGAGCATTAGTTAAGAGAGGCAAATGAAAAAAAAAAAAAAAAAGTAAACCAAGACATTAAGTGCTTTTTTTGTCTCCTGGCTTTAAACAAGCCACTTTGCTGCAAACCAATGATCCTGCCTTTTTTTTTTTTTTTTTTTTTTTTTTTTTTTGGCTAGGTTAATAAAAACAAGAAGTGGCGTGAGCTGGCAACCAACCTAAATGTTGGCACTTCAAGCAGCGCGGCAAGCTCCCTGAAAAAGCAGTATATTCAGTACCTGTTTGCCTTTGAGTGCAAGATAGAGCGCGGGGAGGAGCCCCCGCCGGAAGTCTTCAGCACAGCAGACACCAAGAAGCAGCCCAAGCTCCAGCCGCCCTCTCCTGGTAAGTGGGAGTACTGCAGCTGTCGCCGGGGAGGTTGCTGGTAGGAAAGCAAACCGAACGCGGGGTCTTTGAGGACAAGGGGTGTTTTGTAACTGAACTGCTTGACGGTGCTTAAGGGAAGAGAATACAGTTTGGGATGTGGCTGTTGGGGCCGACATTGCAAAGGCACCATTCTTCTGCTTTACCTTCTTAGTCTAAGGAAACTTGGGAATTTCGAGCTCTCTGCCTCTAGTCCTTTTACATGTATTTAAAAATACTCCTGCTAACTTCCCAGTAACCTGTGCAAATACTTCTGCACTCCCAGAAGACGCCACCCTACTACTGCTGCTGTGGGGACACTCCAGGCTGGGTGTCCGCAAAATGAAATCTGGACTCGGTTTTCAACGTCCCCTGCCCAGCAAGCCCTTCCTTGCAGGCAGTCCAGCAAACCTGGCATAGGAAAGGTCCACACAGCCCTGTTTCTGAGCCCCAGCAGTCAGTTAGCTCCGACCTAGAGGTCAGGAGTCTTAGGAATCCTACCTAGGAATAAGGCCATTTGCCTACATTCTCCCCAGCGAAACCAGAATAATGAGACCCGCCTTCTCTCCGGCCTCTCCACTCAGCTGTTGGAGACCCTGCCATCCTATCAGCTCTCCCGCTCACCTTTGCTCTACCTGCCTTCCAGATTCCTGAATCGTTATATTCTGATAAATACAGTATTCTTAGGAAGAAAATTGCATCATCCCCAATTCTGGGGATGGTGACCTCACTCAAGTTAAATCAGCTGTGTCCTTGCCTGGCCACATCCAAGCCCCTTGATGGTCAGTACTTAGCCACACTGTGCTACGTACAAGACAGGACCGACCGTTCCTGCCACTTCCCATCATGTGAACAGGATTGTTCTGGGACCAAATGCCAGCATTTCATAAGCACTTCACGTGCCAGGCCCCTTTCTAAGTGCTCTGTCCTTTAATCTTTACATCACCGCTATGATGCACATACTGCATCAGAATCACAAAGTCTGTGAGAAAACTAACACATAAGATCTGAAAAACTGGCCCCAAATCTCTTAGCTGGTGGGTGGCATCCAGCTCGAGCAGTAGGCCTGGACCTACTGTACTGAAATGGCATTGTAACAGGGAAGCCTTCTACACAGAGAAGAAGGTATCTGTGAGCCAAAGAAAGAAGCTGTTTTCCCCCTTGTTTCCTCCAGCTGCTTTCTGGATGGCAATGCGAGTGCCTGCGGGTCCCGACCAAGAGATCTCACATAAATACTTCGTAGGGCCAAGATGCACTAGCAGGGAATGTACCAAGGTATATATTTAGACCTGACAGCTCTAAACACAATTAGAAATCCTCTCTCACCCCACCCTTAAGGATCCGAAGCCTTTGCAGTTACGGTATACCTTAAAAACTGTGAAATCTAATTTTAAAAGTCTCACAACATTGCATTCAGTTCACAGAGTCAAACAAGCCGCCTGTGAACAGCCCTGAAACTATTTTTCCAAAATAAAAACTCAGTGGGGTGTAGGGACCAAAGTGGCGATGTCTGCAAAGATGTAAAGGTATATTTTATTTGCCAGGAAAAACTCATGTCACTGAATGGGCTGCACTTCCGTACAGAGAATAGCTCTCCCAGTGAGCACCAGCTTCAGTACAAGAAATCCCGCTGAGCCATAGACCCTTCAGAAAGTGTAGGGCCTGTTCTCTCAACAGTCAGCTCTTGCCTTTTTCCCTTTTTTCAAACTGCCGTCTTTATGGCAACATTACCGTTTTAACTGCACAAAGGAGCCTGGATTGCAGATGTACTTCTGACAATACATTCTTCTCAGTGGTCCGCACGGTCCCAAGTCTTGGGGAAGAGGGGTTGGGGGAGGAGGGCGTCCTGAGCCCAGCCGGACAGAAGGACACGCAGACTGGTCAGTGGGGTAGCGAGGAACAGCAGCCCCATAACCAAAAGCCAGGCTTTCCCCTGGCACCCGTGAGTCAGTGGCCTCTCTGAGTCCAGAACTAGCATTAAGGAAAACAAAATATATTTATTGTCAAAGGAGGAAAAAAAATTATTCCAAACTATGTGCCATGTCAGGACCTCATACGCCACAAAATTTTTAAAAAACTAATTTTCAACCAAACTCTGTGTTCTTAGAAGTCCGTTTTCGCCATTGGAAGGCAACTGTGGTGCTTTTCTTCCCATCCAGGCAAACTAATCGAAACGATTCCTAAGAAACATGCTAGATGGCTTTTTAAACAGCCACTCTGAAGCACCCTAAATCCCAGATCCCTTGGCCATATAAGCAACGTGACTCGTCCTCCTGTATTTGGTTTTGATTTGGTGTGGCTGGTGTGGGGCTTAAGGTCATTTCTGCCAGCCTCTGAGGGGTAGAACCCCTGAGTCCTTGGGGGCACCACTATCTTCACTGGTCACAGGCTTTCCCACCCCAGAGCTCAGTGTTACGGTCTTCCAGTGACTCACAAAAGTCCCTGTATGAAACTGGGCAAGGCCTGGGGTACGGCTGCATCTCTGAGGGCAGTGGGGAATCTTGTTACAGTAAGTCTATACATAAAGTTTTGGGGTTCTCATGGTCAGCCGCAGGACTCGCCTCCACAAGTGGCCAGGCCGCCTGGAAGGCAGTGGGGGGGGGGGGCAGGTTAGGGATGGGGGAGGGAACAAGGTAGCTCCACATTCAATTAGTAAGTCTGTAACCAAAAACCCATCCATCTTTGCTGGCAGGTGGCTGACTGCATTTCTATTATTAGCTGACAGGTGATGTCACAAAACCTGTCATGGAGCCAACTAGGGAATCCTCAGTGGAAGATAAATGAGAAAGGGGTTCAGGTTATAAACAAAGGTGCCCTCTGGGTGACCTCTAGTCACGGTAGACCTGGGACATACCAGCTCCTTCCTTCTCCCTGCCTTCCTTCCCACAACCCCAGCCAGAACTAGGGCACCAGGTTCGTGCTGTGTAAATTCTCTTCCCAGCTAGGAGTCTGGCTGTACAGTCTGGAGTGTGTGAATGTGCTTCACCTTCAGTAACCTTCCCATTGTTTACTTTCGAGTATACATTTGTAGCTTCTGGCAAAAGGTAGGGAGAGCCTGCGGTGTGTGCCGGCCTCATCTATTAATGGAGCTTCAAGAGGGTGCGTTCATTTTTTTTCCCCCTGAAAGGAAAGGAAAAAACACTGGCAGAGGGGAGAGTTTTTTTCTTTTTCTTTCTTTTTTTTTTAATTTTTTTTTTTTTTTTATTAGCTGTAAATGTGAATACTTACAAATAAGGGTCATTCTGAAATCCCAGCCTGTGAACCATGTTTCCAGGGAAGCCGTGCGATCCGCTCTGCGGGGTCTGGTCTGGGATTTAGGAAGCATGTTATTTCTCCTGCCCGCTCAGTGGGGCAGTCCCATCTGTAGGATTATCCTTCCGTATTTATAGAAGACTCCACTTTTTTCTTTGATTACAGTCTACTTATTTAATCTGTAGTTTCAGGCTTTCACCAAAATCTGATTTATAAGCATGCATTACTAAGCTTTTCTTTTGCAATAGCTACTTGAAAAAGATCTGTTTTTCAAGTTAGTCTTCCCGGCATCTCTGAGAGTCTCCGAGTCACTCTGGTCCCAGGCACTCGGGAGACACCATATACAGCCCTGGTGGCCAGTGCTCAGGATTCATTCCCAAGCAGGCCAGGGGGCGACCTGATCTCACCAGAGACCTCCTGTTCCGCTGAGGCTATCTGAGTTACGAGTGCTGGACTCCTTTCCATCTCGGACTCCTTCCCAGCGTGCTCTGTAATCTCCAGTGATTTGTTGAACCCCATCTCCTCGACAGTTAGATGTGGCTGATGGGAACTGTAATGAGTCTTGGACACCTCCTAAGATGGGGGCCCCATGATAATAACATACACAGTATCGTAAGTGACGATAAGTCACTTACAAGCAGCCGGTAATTCCGCCATTTGTAACACTTCTGAAAGCATTTATAATAAACTGCATGAGGGCAGGAATTATTGTCTTTTTTGTCAGTTTGGGACACTGCTGGTGCATGCGGAAGTAGAAAAAAAACAATACAGTAAGCAGTATAGCAAGCATGTTATTTATTCAATAAGTATTTGTTTAACAGATGAAGGCAAGGTCTATTGGGCACCTAATGTGCAAAGGTTGCTGATAAAGCAGAAACCCTTAAAATACTGTGTTTTCCAATGAGACGAGTTTAAGTTTTGAGAAGATCTGCTCAATTCTGAGCTCTCTTATTATAATGTAATTATAGTTAAAGCCAAATCTCAAGTCTCTGATAGTGACATTAAAGAAATCCAAAGAGCATGACTTTGGTTTTGTAATAACAAATCTGATTCCGTAGCTCTAAAAATGACTTTGTTAATGACACAGTATAGACACATCCAGACATTGGGGAGGCATTGAAGTGACATAAGGCTCATTACTAATTTGTATCATTGCGTTTCAACTTAAACACTTCTCATTGCCTAAGATCTGGTACTAATTTTTCTAATTTTTTTCCTAAAATAGCACAGTAGTCCATCAAATCAGTATACCAAATTTTTCATCCCATTTTTTCCTTACTCCCAGACATTTAGATTATCTCCATTATAAACAACACTGAAATAAACATTTTTCTGCCTAAAGCCTTCTTTTAGATTAGATTATTTTCTTGAGATAAATACCCAAGAAAGCAATTACCCAGTCAAGAGGTATAAATATGTTTTATGGCTCATAAATGAAGTATGTTGCCAAATAGATTACTAAAAAACAAATAAAAAAACTTTTACTAATTTTCACTATAAATAATATAAGAGCAACTGATTTTACTGTATGGTTACCAGTAATGGATGTTGTTACTCTTTCTGATAAGCTGGTGTTGTGTTGTCCTTCCCTTTTTTTTTTTTTTTTAAGTAAGTAGGAAGGATGAGCTTACTTGATAACCTCTCGTTTTTTCCTTCTTTTCTCTTGGTGCTACTACTGTCAGCTAACTCAGGATCCTTGCAAGGTCCACAGACCCCCCAATCCACCGGCAGTAACTCGATGGCAGAAGTTCCAGGTGACCTGAAGCCCCCGACCCCAGCCTCCACCCCTCATGGACAGATGACCCCGATGCAAGGTGGAAGGTATGCAGAAGCATCTCCGTGAGCCCCACAACCGCGGATTTTTGGAGAAGATGTGGTGTTCTCTTGCGAGTTTTGTAACGTTGATTCCTACGGGTTTTATTCATGTCATGATTTTGGGATGGTTTTTACATTAATTTTCAAGTTAAGCTTTTTCCCGAACAAGCGTTCAGTGGCAGCTCCTGCTACTTCTGAAGCTGTCCTTCTCCTGCCTCCAGAAGCAGTACGGTCAGTGTGCACGACCCGTTCTCTGATGCCAGCGACTCGTCGTTCCCGAAGCGGAACTCCATGACTCCGAGCGCCCCCTACCAGCAGGGCATGAGCATGCCTGACGTGATGGGAAGGATGCCCTACGAACCCAACAAGGACCCCTTTGGTGGAATGAGAAAAGGTGAGTGCAGGGGGAACCTCGCCCAGGCTTGGTCAAGAGGACGGTCTTCTCTCGGCCATCGCACAGCCAGTTCACTTACCTATTCGAGACATAGCTGAGTCCCCGCTCCTCGGCCTCCTAGATTTCTGGCCTCGGGGAAGCCTCCGTTTCCTCATCTAGAAACTGGGACCTGTCTACAGGCTATGATGGAGCTTGGTTGAGTGGGTCCTTGGAGGATTGACACACGCGGTGCGCAAGCGCGCTCGTGGCGCCCCCTGGCGGCGCGGGTCGTATCCTACAGCGCAGGCTCGAGAGAGCTGGGGCGGCGTGGTGTGCTGCCAAATCAGAGTCAAACCACAGATCTGTAATTAAATATGGCCGTTGGTGCGAGAAGGGACCCCAACACAAAAGTGCAGGGCTATGAGGTGGGAGTGGTGGGGGTGGTGGGGGTGGTGGGGGGGAGGGAAATCCCATGAGAAAGGGTGGGTGGGGGGCTTTGAGGAGGTGTCGGTTATCCGTGGCCACCTGAGGAGTGAGGGGTCAGTCAGAGAAGCGCAGGGAGTTGGGGGTGGCTCGAGGCAGGAGCGAGCTTGGCATGTTTGAGGAGGTGGAAGTCATCTGGGGTGTAGTGAGCTGGGCCTGGGGGATGGGGGGGGCGGGGCGTGCAGCCTGAGCGCATCAGGACGACTGGGACCAGAACATTGCAGCCTTTATGGGCGTGTGGATGAGTTTGGACTTTTACCCTAGCTGAAAGATGTTCTGCAGGAAGTAACGCAGCTAGGTTTTTGTTAAAACAATAACTGGTGGGGCGCCTGGGTGGCTCAGTGGGTCAGGCGCCTGCCTTCCACTCAGGTCATGATCTCAGGGTCCTGGGATGGAGCCCTGCATTGGGCTCTCTGCTCAGCGGGGAGCCTGCTTCTCCCTCTACCTCCCCCCACCCAGTCATGCTTTCTCTAGCTCTCTCTCTCTCTCAAATAAATAAATAAAATCGTATAAATAAATAAATAAATAAGTGGAGAATGTGTTGGAGGGACCCCGTGAGGGGCCCCGGGGAGAGATGATGGGGTGGAGTCAGATCCCAGCAGCGAAAGAGAGAAGTGGACATACTCGCCGGGTGTTCTGGATGGTGAAGGCACAGGCCCCACTGGCTGGTCTGAACGTGGAGGTCCCAGGGGATGAACCAAGTGATACCGACTGGGCGGGTGAGGACATTACCACCTTGGAGATGCACGACTAGGAAGCAGAGGCTCACTGTTCACACCTGTGCTGGGGACAGGAGGGACAGGAGGGAGAGGAAGGAGAGAGGGAAGGCCCAAGGTGACTTTGGGATGCATTGAGGTGGTAGGTGGTGGAGGGTGTCCATCTGCAGCCCAGCCAGAGCGTTGGGATTAGGAATCATTTTAAAGAACTAAGCAGAGAAGTGGGACGGAGCACTGTGGCTCGGATGGGACCGCAGAGACTGTGCGAGAGCTCCGACCGATGTTAGCCAACACCCAGCGGGGTGTTTCCTGTTATGCTGCTCAGTCCCAGGTCTTCACCGGGCACCGAAATGTAGCATCTAAGCCTCTCAGCCTCGGCCCTTTGAGTGCCTCCCCAGCCACGTGCACTCCAAGTGGGGGTTGGCACTCTTCCAAGTGCAGCTGGGCTGTGAAATTGAGGCGTGATGTGAATATCATTGAAAAAAAATACAGAAAAGTAGTGAATACAATTTTTACAGAAGTACTTCTTCAGGGATTCCTTAAACGATAGTACTTCTGTTCGATTTAGATGTTTGGGGTGTGCGAATTTCTTGATATCTTGTCTTAAGTAGAGAGAAACACAAAGCCAGGATTTTCCCAAGTATTATGGAGCAGTGAAAAATAAAAATGAATAATTTAAGGATTTTAAATATTAGGTGTGTGTCATTTAATAAATAAGATTACATTTAATATCTATTTTTTCTGTGCCATTTCAGATCTCTGTTATGCTGAGTAAGATAATCTCTAATTTTTCCTTTTCAAAAAGCTTCAGAGCTGGCCTCTTCAAAGTAAATATCCTGCCGAACATGCGGTACATCCATAAGCTTGGGAATTCACAAGCCTTGTAAATGTTGGAGGTAGCTGTTTTTCTTAGTGGTATGAGAGACGAGAAAGAACATTTTGTTAGTGCTGATGGTGGTTGTGTCACCTTTTTAGACTCTGAAAATATGACAGTAACATGGGAAAAATAATTAGTATTGTTTGGAACCTGGCTTCAAGAGATAGGTGATATCCTGTCCAGTCTCCTATCTGTATGCTAGATTGGACAGAGGGAGTTGCTTTGCTTTTTTTCTGCGCACCTACGGTCTTTCTTATTATGAAAATAAACGGGGTTGGGGGCATGATTATGGATCACGTGTTAGGCGCTAGCTAGCTGTATAATGAGTTTGCATCAACCGTGTACAGTGGCTCAGAGGGGGGACCTTCTCACATGTCCCCAGGATGCTTTAGCTCACCTGCTACCTCACAGTGCCTCTATGTTTAGCACCAAATTAAAGCAGAAAAACAGAAAACCCACAAGATACAGATTTTTGTGTAGCCCCCGCCCCTGTTATAATAAAGTTTTACATTCCTCAGTTCGCGTTATTCTGTCCGTGAACTTGGTGGTTCTCTGGTTTTTCATGTAATGACCAGCATTGGGGGAAACCATGTTCTCTGTTGCTGTTGCTGCCACTGGGCTGCAGTGCGGTGACACGGCCAGTGGCAGAGCCTGTCTGAGCCTCGGTGCCCAGAGCAGCCTCAGCCCACCTGCCCCCCTGCCCCACCAACTTCCTAAAGTCATTACCAACCAAAGGATCGGCTACTGGCTTTCAAGTGAACAGTGAATATTTATATATTGTGTATCTAAACAGTGTATTTTAAATACTCGTTAATATCTTTACACATAATCCTACTTTTATTTTGAGAAGGAGAGAAAGGGCGGGCAGAGGCTTGGAGAGAGGAAAAGAGAGAATCCCAAGCAGGCTCCACGCCCAGCACAGAGCCCAACTTGGGACTCGATCTCACAACCCTGAGATCATGACCCAAGCTGAAACCAAGAGTCGGATGCTTAACCAGCTGAGCCACCCAGGCACCCCACCTACTTTTTCTCTTTCTTTTTCTTTTTTTTAAATTTTATTTTAAAGATTTTATTTATTTATTTGAGACAGAGATAGCCCAAGCAGTGGGGAGGGGCAAAGGGAGAAACAGACTCCCCCTAGAGTGGGGAGCCAAAGGCAGGATTCAATCATGACCTGAGCAAAAGTCAGATGCTTAACCTGCTGAGCCACCCAGATGCCCCTACTTGTCCTTTTCAGTGCTCTAATACTGAAGGAGTTGTTTCATAATATTTTGCTATTGTAAAAAATGATGCAGTGGTTATGGAATGAAGCAGCTGTTTTTTTCACACCTGCAATTGTGTTTCTATGAAATAGATTCCTAGAATAACCGAGTCATGGGATATGAACTTCTACCTTACTGAGTATCTTCTACTACATAACAAAGTACCACCCAAAGTGGTTTTCCACTTTGCCGGCACCCCATAGGTCAACGCTGGTCACATGACCATGCGCAAACTCATTGTGGGAGGAGACTTCATAGGCTATAAATACCCTTGGGGAGGGGTCACCAAAATAATAGCCCTCACATAACAGGTATTGACAAAAGTTAGACCAAGTTAATACTCTTCACATGAGCATGTCACAGTGTGTGGACCCTCCTCCCCTACCAGCAATGACCAGTATCGGTCCTCTTCATATTTAATTCAGAGAGGGGAAGTCTCATAATTGTTTTAACTTGGATTTCTTTCCCTTTTTTTTAAGATTTTATTTATTTATTTGACAGAGACAGTGAGGAGAGGTATTCAAGCAGGAGGAATGGGAGAGGGAGAAGCAGGCTTCCTGCTGAGCAGGGAGCCCAATGCGGGGCTTGACCTGGGACCATGACCTAAGCCGAAGGCAGACGCTTAACGACTGAGCCACCTAGGCACCCCCTTGAATTCTTTAATTATTAGTGAAGTCACACATCTTTTCATACACTGATTAGCTACATATTTTTCTTTTCTTCTGAATGTCCATTTATTTGCCTATTTTTTTTTTAATCTGATGGTTTTCTCTACTGGCTTTTTAAGAATTTTTTATGTATCAAGGAATTAAGCTATTTAATTATCTCCTTTAATGTCTGTGTCCCTCTGTTTTTACATTTATAAAATGGAAAGTAACATCAGAACTTAATCTGCCACGTGTTGACTTGAGCTTGAGTAAGAAAATACGGGAAAGCCCAGCGTATCCCACCGCTGTTAGACGTCGTTATGTGCGCTCTCCTCCAGCTGAACAAACTCTCAGCTCACCAAAGTTTAATCAGCTTTTGCTTCGTGTAACGTAAAAGTAACCTTCCTAAGATGAAGAAAGGTAGCAGGACTGTATATCAATTAAGATTTGCATTAAAATGTTTAATTTTCCTACAGGCTAGTTTCTGGGCTCGACCCAATATCCTTCAGGCTCTAAGCTGATGCTCATTTGCATATTTGACCTAATTGCCACTCTGCGCCCTGGTAGAAACACTTGCATTTCATCCATTCTTGAATTATTCTTAATTCCCTAGTGGTTTTCTTTACCCTGATTTTGCAGTGAGTCGGTAGGTAGGTATTCATGTTAAGTTTTTTGTTTTTTTGTTTTTACTTTTTTCCCCTGGAATGGAAAGGAACTAGCTTTATTCATACAGTTGACCCTTGAACAACATGGGTTCAAACTGCACGAGGCTGCTTATACACAGAGTGTTTTCAATAAATAGATGTACGCTATTGTAAGTGTATTTTCTCTTACAACTTTCTTAACATTTTCTTTTCTTCAGCTTACTGAAGAGTACCGTATATGATTCATGTAACGTGCAATATGTGTGCTATTTTTTTTTTTAAGATTTTCTTTATTTATTTGAGAGAGTGTGTGTGTGAGCAGGGAAAGGGAGAAGCAGATGCCCCTGCTGAGTGGGGAGCCCGATGCAGGGCTCGATCCCAGGACCCTGAGATCACGACCTGAGCCAAAGGCAGAGGCTTAACTGAGGAGCCACCCAGGCGCCCCTCCACTGTATTGTGCGCGTTATCACTAAGGCTTCCAGGCAGCGGTAGCTTATGAGTAGTGAGGTTATGGGGGAGTCCAAAGTTACACGTGGGTTTTCACCTTCGTGGGGTCAGCACCCCTAGCACCTGTGTGAAGAGTCACCTGTACGTGTGTGTCCTCTCTTCCTCATGCCCACTGCATGAGGCGGCATGACCAACCTTATTTTATAGACAAGGAATGAAACTCGGAAGCTTGGCTGCCCCAAGAAAGGGCCTGTGTTTGTTTCCTACATTACTTCATAACAAGTTAGCATGACCTCAGCAGCCCAGAACAACATCCGTGTAGGATCCCACATTCCTGTGGGCTCTTGGCTTGGTGTTCCCCCTGGTGGACATCAGGGTGGCGGCCTGGACTCCATTTCTCTGCGGTGCAGGGTCCTCTCCTGAGCTCGCTCAGGTTGTGGGCAAATGTGGCTCCTTGCAGTTGTCGGACTGAGGTCTCGTTGTCTAGAGCTCTGTTGTCTGGGGGCCTTCACAGTGCTAGGGGCTGCCGCCCCTTCCTAACACGTGGCCCTCTCCACCACATGGCGGGTACCTGTCAGCTGGTTGGTGACTTTAGTTACATCTGTGAAATCCCTTTAGCCATATCATGTATGTGATCGTGGGAGCAACATTCCTGCCATATTGGTGGGTTCTACTCCCACTCAAGGGAAGGGGCTCTTACGAGGCCTGTACATGGGGTAAGGGATAGGGATCTTGGGTTCCATCTTGACTTCAGACCTCACACTCTTTGGTTTGTATTGTTGTCGGCCATATTAAGAGCAAGATAAATGTCCGCCATATTAAGGATTACAGAAACAACTGGAAAGGGCTGTTTGGGCCCCTTGGCTTTTGCAAATGCTTCATTTTCTATGTGTTCTTTAAAATGTTGCAGTGCCTGGAAGTAGTGAGCCCTTTATGACTCAAGGACAGATGCCCACTAGCAGTATGCAGGACATGTATAACCAAAGTCCCTCTGGAGCGATGTCCAGTCTGGGCATGGGGCAGCGGCAACAGTTTCCCTATGGAGCCGGTTACGATCGAAGGTGAGTGTTTTTTGAGGTGACCACGAGGTTTACTGGAACCTCTCCTCCCACACGCGTTTCTGAGCCCTGGTACCTGCTGACAACACATGGACCTGCTTTTTCTGCTGGGCTTGATACGGTTGGCGTCAGGGGGCTGCCTTCAGCAGCTGACCTCAGCAGGACCGCAGAGAAGGGCTCCTGAGAGCCAGGAGGCCCCACGCAGTGGTGGTCCTCCCAGCACCGGATACCCTCCTGATGCCACCACGGCCACCACACCTCCAGCTTCCTTGCACGGCTCCACAAACCCAGGGTTCACGGCCCCACCAAACCCCTCCCCACCTGCATTTCTTCCTTAGGGAAATGCTCGCACACTGGGGGCCACGCTGGGCTTCCCGCAACCCTGGGGTGACAGGGAGCTCTGGGAAGACTTCCCTCCCGGCCTTGGTTTTTCAGGTGTTTCCATTCTTCCCTGCAAACATTTTAAACAGAGAGACTACTTTGTTCCTTGAATAACATCTCTGAGGAAAGCCACGGCAGTCTTTTTTCCAGATACTTCTCAGGATGGTATCTGGACACTGAATAGCAAGTTGGGTTTCGGTGCTCATCCAGATTATTTTTACGGAGACAGAAGGACAGTCTTTGAAATGTGTCTGAGAGGTGACAGAAAACCAGCTCACGGTAGACTTCTGTGAAGAAGGCCCCTTAGCCCTGCCCCCGACTTAAATGCTGACTCTGAAAGCACCTTCCTTTGATGGTATGTTCTTTGCCTCCTTAATAGAGAAGTGCTCAGAAACAAAGTCTTTCACATAATATCTGTGATTTTTTAAAGAAAATGGAGGCATATGAGAAGGCTCTTCTAACTGTAGCCACAGACCCAAGCTCAGGGTAGGGATGGCCTCGGCTGCGTTCCTTCAGAAGCCGGTGGCGGGCGGTGGTCCTCACTTCCTCCTCACTTCTGCTCCCTACCCTGAGCCTCCTGCTGGCCTCCTGCTGGCCAAGGGCAGGCTCAAAGTCGTGAGAGCCGTGCGGAGATGTCCAGGGGTATAATGCAGCGGGGAAGAAAGTTTCTTTAATTACCAAACAAGCTCTTTCTGGCACCTAGTGCCTGAGATTGCAGAATCATCACAAGCTTAAAGTGATTTGGTTCTTTCTAGACTTAAGACTCTAGATTTCTCCTTCTTACCCTGGCTGTGGTGTGGGGAACTTGTATTAGTGATATCTGCATGAATCAGTTACCCATCAGGTTTAGTCTACTAGATTGGGGATTTTATTTAGATCTGTTTTTGAGGATCCAAGAGAAGCTCTTTTTTTTTTTTTTTTTTCCCGGCTGACAAGATGGGAAGAACACTTACCCTGGAACATATATTCTTAAAGGAGCCCTGGGAAGTACCCTGTTCTGTTTCTCCTAAAAGACCTTCTAGAACTAGTTTAAGTCATTTTGGCTCTGCCGCATTAGGGTTTACCTTGTTATGTTTTCTGAAAAGTGTTACTTGTTCAGCTTAAATTTTATCTGTGTTGGTTATATTTCTTTCCTCCTAATTAAGCTTCCTTCTAGCTATTAATGCCCTTAGCACACACTTCCTCTATATCTGTTTTCCCTCTGATGGTCTCAAAATCCATTCGTTTTCTTTCTTATTCTCATCCCTTGACCACTGTAGGAACATACTCAGTGCCAGTACCCTCTGTCTTACAGGATCCAGTCATTATACAAGTGGGATGGTCTCAAAATCCATTCGTTTTCTTTCTTATTCTCATCCCTTGACCACTGTAGGAACATACTCAGTGCCAGTACGCTCTCTCTTACAGGACCCAGTCAGTATACTAAGCCGATTTATCCCTTTAAACCTCACTTCTACTGCTCTGTCACACATACTGTTTTTATGGTATTCAGAGTTTCTCAGTGTAATGGGAGTTGGAAAATAAATGTTATTCATTCCCATTTTCAGATTTAATCTAGGAGTCCATTTAAATCATCCCTGTCACTCTTATAAGTCCTCTCTGTTACTCTTTCCTGTGGCCTTTTAGGGTCACAGGGCTTTAAAATTTTGAGTAGCTGTATTTTAACAATTATTAGCTAACTCAATATCATTTGGATTAAATGTGGAGTATGCTTTAAAAATATTGGACATTTTGTATTCATAATGAGAAATAAGTAAAGACATTTTCCACGATGAAAGGTCTGTGTTCTGGTACTCCCGCAATTCCTGTTTCATTCTGAGATTGTTTGTCTTGTCTCTGGCTCTCATTAATCCCTGCCCTCGCGGTGCCTCATGACGCTCGCGGCCCAGGGGCGCGTCGGCGGGTGGGCAGGGACTTTCCTCAAAGGCCCGGGTGCGGCCTGTCCGGCCGGGGCTCCTCTCACACCGACTAACCAGGAGACTGGCAGCATTCCCAAGATGGGTGTTGCCATCCCTGTGGCTAAAAGTTAACGTGCTGTTTTTGCTCACCGTGCCTCTGTTGGAAGGTGTGTGCAGTGAAGGAAAGACAAAACCAGGAAGCGTGCAGGATTTCCAGAAACGAGCTGTTGGTTTCTCTCTTGGCCCGAGGTCCTTTGACAATGTAGTGTTCTTTGAATGCCTCATTCTAGGCATGAACCTTATGGGCAGCAGTACCCAGGCCAAGGCCCTCCCTCAGGACAGCCGCCATATGGAGGACACCAGCCCGGCCTGTATCCGCAGCAGCCGGTGAGTTGGCGAGTGGACACACATCTCCGTGCTTTCGGTTTAAAACCCAAACTTGTGTTATTTCTGAAGAGTTTCAGGGAGGATAAGAAAAAGGAGTAGCATCAGGATCTCCTTGCTTATGCTAGAAAATAGTATTAGGATTTTGAAGTCAGCAAATTTTAAAAAGCTCTGGATGTATGGTATCCTGGAAGAAATGTAACGTGTTGTAGGAAGTAAAGGACATCCAGCCTTGTCAAGACTAACCAGTCTGAGTAACGAATATCATATATAACGAATATAGCATGTTCTGTTGTGTGTATTGTCTATCAAATGCCTTTTTTTAGAACAGAAATTTGTTCATGTTTTACAGACAATGTGTAGATAAAAACAACTTAAAATATCAAATACCAAGAATGAAAGTTAATCGGTTTTTTAAAAAATGAGATACTAACGACCACATATTTTGCCCACCAAGGATGGTTGATGCTGGTTTACACGGCCGTAGATCTTGAGTTGTATAAGATAACCTTACCGTTGTCACTACTGATGCAGAGAATTGCATGTCGTGCTGGGGCTGTTCAGATACAGAAATTTACTATTTCTTTTTTTTTTTTTAAGGTTTTATTTATTTGAGAGAGAGAGAGAGAGAGAGCGTGCATGTACGAGCAGGGGGAGGGGCAGAGGGAGAGGGGGAGGGAGAGGGAGGAAGCAGACTGCCCTGAGTGTGGAGCCCGATGCAGGGCTCAGTCCCACAACCCCGAGATCATGACCTGAGCTGCAATCAAAGAGTCAGACACTCAGCCGACTGAGCCACCCGGGCGCCCCAAGAATTTGCTATTTCTAAACAACTTTTCTGGTGTAAGACCTCTGGTAGCATAGAGGAGGTTTTAAACATTCAATTTGACTGGAGCATGTACATACAGTAAATTCTGTTACTAAACCAGGTGACCTTAAGCAATTTCCGAGGAAGGTAAAAGAGCACTAATTACCACATCAGCATCTTTCTCCCGTGCTGGTACCCGGGGGGTCCCCAGGGGGAGCCTAGTACACAGGCGACGCGGGCCCTGCCATCAGAGGCTGGGGCCGGCGGGGCTTTCGTTGGAAGTTGAGGTGGGGGCCAGGGACTGTAGGGTGTCAGGACAGCAGGTCCAGTCTGAGGAGCTGGCTGCTGTGTGGAGACACTTCCAAAAAGGTAGGCCTAAGGAATCTCTTGACTCCAGGAACCATGCAGGCTGGCCCTCGGGGAGCCCAGTCCATGCCAGTGCGAGTTCTCTTCCGACCTACTGAGGCCGTCTTCGTGTAGCTGCGAGCCCCCGGCCGGCATTGCCCATCCAGGGATCAGCAGAGCCTGTGCCCCACTGTACCGCAGCCCTAGGAAATACCAAGGCAGGGGCTACCAGGAAAAAGAGAGAGGAAGCCTTTCTTTCCCCAAGAAAATATCAAAGCACGGGCAAACTTCGGGAACCCTCTTCAGAGTACGTGCCACGGCCCTTATAATCCCGAGTGGGGGCCTAGATGGTTAGTCCCAGTTGTTTTGGGAGCTGCCCCTATTCATTTTGAAATGAGCATCCTGTCAGGTAATAACTGTTTTGCCTAATTTACGTGTGTGATTATACCTGTAAAAGCACATCAGTATGATTTGTCTTGGTGCGAATTTCAGAATTACAAACGCCATATGGACGGCATGTACGGGCCTCCAGCCAAGCGGCACGAGGGAGACGTGTACAACATGCAGTACGGCAGCCAGCAGCAGGAGCTGTACAACCAGTACGGGGGCTCCTACTCGGGCCCGGACAGGAGGCCCATGCAGGGCCAGTATCCATACCCCTACAACAGGGAGCGGATGCAGGGCCCGGCGCAGATGCAGCCGCACGCCATCCCGCCTCAGATGATGGGCGGCCCGATGCAGTCGTCCTCCAGCGAGGGGCCGCAGCAGAGCATGTGGGCGACGCGCAACGACCTGCCTTACCCCTACCAGAGCCGGCAGGGCCCCGGCGGCCCCGGCCAGGCGCCGCCCTACCCAGGCATGAACCGCACGGATGATATGATGGTACCTGATCAAAGGATCAACCACGAGAGCCAGTGGCCTTCTCACGTCAGCCAACGTCAGCCTTATATGTCCTCTCCCGCCTCCATGCAGCCCATCACGCGCCCGCCTCAGTCATCCTACCAGACGCCGCCGTCACTGCCAAACCACGTCTCCAGAGCCCCCAGCCCCGCCTCCTTCCAGCGCTCCCTGGAGAGCCGCATGTCCCCCAGCAAGTCTCCCTTTCTGCCCTCTCTGAAGATGCAGAAGGTCCTGCCCACCGTCCCCACGGCCCAGGTCACGGGGCCGCCCCCCCAGCCGCCCCCCATCCGAAGGGAGATCACCTTTCCCCCTGGCTCCGTCGAGGCATCACAGCCAGTCTTGAAACAAAGGCGAAAGATTACCTCAAAAGATATCGGTAAGCACCCCGGGCCTTGTCCTGAAACGGACCCCAGGTGTGATCTAGAACCGTAGTCATAGTTCAGATGCAGCTCCTGTCCATCTCCCGGGGATGAACGTCTTGGACCCACAGGCTGTCAGGACATGGGTCTGCAGAGCCCTGATCTGAGCAAAGAGACAGGGCCGGAGAGGAGCGTGAACTAAATGGGTATTTTTACACATGGGCGTTATTACTCGTGAGAGAGTAGAGCTCCAAGCGAGACCACGGGTCCTCAGTGACTGTGTTCAGTGCCACATGCTGAGCCGACAGACTGGGCCTTAACCAGTCACTTGGCCTCTGCAGTGAGCCTCCGCGGAGGCTGAGAGGCTAATGACACGCTCAGGTGGCCTGAGAAAACTTGAAGGCGAGCCCCTCTGTAATTCAGGGAACTCCAGACAGTGGGCTTCCCTGGGAAGAAGTCGAAGCCTGCGTATGATATGTGGATAAATATTAGTATGATACGCAGAATTTGATACAATGTGACGTGTAGACTTAACATAAGCCCTGTAGTGGGGGTAGATACGGGCCAAGGAACGATTTTGGTTGGATGCTGATGTTGTTTGCACATTCCCTCTGGGATGTTCTGAATACTAACCCCAGATCTGGGATATCTAGGAGTACACGCAGTTTTTTTGCATTCTTTTTGAAGTACTTGTAATGTAGCAAAGGAAATTACAGACCATGGTTATATATATAAAAAACTATTTTTTTCAAAAAACCTCAAAATCACTTGACTTGAAATCAGTTACTACAGTGAGTAGGATATCAAAGATATTAAAGGTTTCTTTTTCAACCCTTGGAATTAAGGACCTACACAGGCAGAGAGGCGGAAGGAAGTAAGGACTTGCAGAGAGGGGTGCTGGAGGTGAGGAGATACAGACACTGAGCACCGTTTATATGCAGAAATATATATGGAAAAATATGCACGTGTGTTTGTGTGTTTATGTGTGTGCATATGTTTAAATAAATAAACGTATTTAAATTTTTATAAAATTTCTTTGCACATGTTAGATCAGCGTTTGCCCTCAGCCTGGGTAAATTTATGTTCCTTATTTTAAAAAAGAAAGTTTGCTTTTTCTATTACAAAAGTATAGTATGCCTCTTAGAAAATATGGGAAGTAGATGAAATTACAGTAGAGGTGGACACCCACGGTCCCCTCCAGCGCGTGCGACTGCTGCCGGTGTCCAGTGTGGGCTGTTGTTCTGGTGAGTTCTGATTGCCCGGGCCTGCTCCCACGAGGTGCTTCTGCCAGTTTGCTGAGACGGAAATCCCAGACATATAATGGGCCTCTTCTAGCCGCATCTTATGGCAAATCTTGCAAATGTTTGATCGCATCCTTGTGTCTTCTTCAGTAACGGGAAGGGGGAAGAGAAGAGTACAGCCCTTCTGTTTCCCATCCCCTGGCTCAGACCAAGCTGTTGAAAAATCTGAACCTTCCCCGTGCTAATAATTGTCAACAGCATGTTCTGAGGGCAGGAGCCCAGAGAGAAGGGGACAGAAAGGGAATACCAAGACTGTCTATCCCAGAATGCGCTGTTTGTGAGTTGAATTTTGCCTGTTTTCTGCGTATTTGCCAGCCTTCCGAGGATGCCGCCCGGAGACAGTTGTGAATCGAGCGGGCAAAAGAAGACAAACGCCATTTTTTGGTTTGACTCAGTTATTAACACTTCGCTGCGTCATCACCGAGTCTCTTAGGGGCCAAAGGAAACCAGTCAGGGCTGAGAAAGGGCCGTGGTGCTCAGCACCACCCCTCGAGAAGCGCTTTTGGCTCCTGTTTAACCAACAAAGCCAAGGGATCTTAAACAGCGGGAAGTGTCTTAGGAAGCCGTCAGCTCCATTTAAAATCTGGAAACGATCATGTTTAGCCATGCCTCAGGACATTTGTTTGAAATCCATATTTAACTCAACACTTGACTTTTTTCTTATTCTTGTGTTATTTTCCTTCCTTTCCTGCACAGACCTGATATTAATTATACCTCATTCTTTCCCCCGTTTTAGTTACTCCTGAGGCCTGGCGTGTGATGATGTCCCTTAAGTCAGGTCTTCTGGCTGAAAGTACTTGGGCTCTGGACACTATTAACATTCTCCTATATGATGACAGCACTGTCGCTACCTTCAGTCTCTCCCAGGTAAGCCGGCACCCGGCCCGCCAGGGGCCCAGGGAGCAGAGGAACGTTGAGGCGTGCGCAGCGCGGGAGCGAATGTCAGGGGTGATCACATCCATCGGGCATGGCTGCCCTTGTAGTTGTTACAGACGTAGAGCTGTCTGAGAGTTAGTCGGGAGCGATAACTCGTTTCAGGCTCCGGTATAAATACACACATCCTTCCGTTTCTCACTAGAAAACTGTCCCAATGTGCATGTGTGCGTGCGTGCGTGTGTGTGTGTGTGTGTGTAGAACAGATAGTAAAAGGAAGTTGCTGTTGAGAAGGAATGTCAGCAACCGGCGGAGGTAACTGAAATACAACATTGAGCCGGGCCCGTGGTCAGTGTTGGGTATGCGGGAGCTGGGGATGGGAAATACCCTCCTTTCCAGGGCAACCGAACTGCTTTCTTCCTTTTTTTTTTCTTAAGATTTTATTTATTTATTTGACAGAGATCCCAAGAAGGCAGAGAGGCAGACAGAGAGGAGGAAGCAGGCTCCCCACTGAGCAGAGAGCCTGATGTGGGGCTCGATCCCAGGACCCTGGGATCATGACCCGAGCCGAAGGCAGAGGCTTTAACCCACTGAGCCACCCAGGCGCCTGAGCTTTCTTTTAGTTAGAAAGAAACGTTATGGTATAGAAAATGTACATAGGAGAGAGAGGTAGAGAGACCCGTTTAATGAACCCCCCCATATCCCCATCATCCAGCTGAGATACTGTGACCTCATGGCCAGACTTGGTTCTCTGTCTGTTTCCTTCCTTGCTGCCTCTCTCCACCTTATTTTGGAGCAGTCATTGGAAAGCCTCCTGCTTGTGTAATAAAGCTTCAAGCTCTCCTTTGTTCGGCATTTGGCTTCAAGTGGCCCCCCGCGTAATTGCTAGAGGAGAGAGGGGAGCAGAGCGTTAGGGAAAATGCCCGAGAGTCCACTGAGCTGCAAACTTTTAAAGAAATATTTAGAAACAAAAATGAAGAGAGGTAATTCTCCCTGCTGCGTATGAACAATTCTCCGCTTTGGGTGAAAAAAGCCAAAACATCTAATTACCTTGCTTCTGCTGAAATCGGACCAGAATCTTCCACTTTGTCTTTCTTCTCACATTTAAGTCCTCATTATAGCCCTGAAAGGCAATTTTTCACTTGATAGGACGTGTATTAATAAGGTTATAAACATCGTGTGAAGCCCATTGTAACAGAAAATACTAAAAACCGTGTAGTGCCTTTTCTAGAATGCCTGCCTTCTGTCCTTATGTGAGCAGAGTTAGCGCGGGTGTTGCTCACACATTTTCATACCAGAATCGCTTTGGTAACTTGCCGCTTTCCCTGCCCTGGGATAAAAGTTAACTTTAAGTCAGGGGACAGACACCCAAATCTTCACGTGAAAAATTGTGCCTTCATCCCCTAAAAGCAAGTCCTTTAAGGTCCTACTTGATTGGCCCCTTACTTCCTAATAGTCGTTCACAGCCACTTTCAGGAAACCGATAGCAGGATATGAAAATACGATTGATTTCCGAAACACCTATCGTTAAAGAATCCTCCAGTCCCTCCTTATCCTCCGTCATCCCTACGTGTGGTGGCGTGGGCCCTGGGGGAGGGGCGCTGGGCAGTTGCTAATCATGGACTGTGTTGGCGTTCTCAGTGCAGACTTGCAAGGAGACGAAACGGGTTCTCGGGTGGCTTTTGTCTTTCAGCGGGAGTTGTGATAGCTGAAATGTAAAAGTGCATTCTATGAGACACTCTAATTCATTTATTAGGGGCTAAATTGATTTGTTTTTAATTTTCTGTGTTTATGAGCTACTCCATTGCTGAAATTATCTTCTCCCAAAGATATATGGGGAATGTAAATTAGATTAACCTATGGCACCTAAGACAAAAATAACCATAAAATCCTAGGAATAAAAACCGTACAAATCCAGGCAAGCCAGTCGCAGACAAATAGTGGAGGAGAACAGACTCGCTTTGGGTGAATGAGTCTAAGTTCACGTTCCCGCTCTTCTCGTGTGGAGTGCAGTGTATCTCAGTCAGAACAAAAGACAAAAGGCAAAGAACTTGATAATCTTAAAAAGAAGAAAATACCGGGGAAGTTTCCATATTGACGGAGTAGGAAAGTCAGCAGGAAGGGAAAACACGGTGCACGTTGATTTAGTTAACAACGTAAAAGTCAGGAAGCGGCTCTGAGATGTAGTTTCTCTCTCTGGGCCTAACCAAAACGGAATCAAAACTTGAGAAAATCACCCTAAAGCCGCATCAGTAGCTCTCAGGATTGCTGCCCTTCTCCACCCTGTCCGAGGTTATGACGTTGTACCCGTTCTTGTTCTTGTCCCCTCTCTAGTTGTCCGGATTTCTCGAACTTTTAGTAGAGTACTTTAGGAAATGCCTAATTGACATTTTTGGGATTCTTATGGAATATGAGGTGGGCGACCCCAGCCAAAAAGCACTTGACCACAATGCGGTGAAGAGGGACGACAGCCAGTCGTGGGCCGACGATTCTGGGAAAGAGGAGGAAGATGCCGAGTGTGTCGATGAGGAGGAGGACGAGGAGGAGGACGAGGAGGACGACAGTGGGAAGACAGAGACGGAGGAGAAGAGCGGCGTGGCTCTGGCCTCTCCCAACGCTCCCGCAGATGCCAAGGAGAAGCCCAGGCAAGCGAGTAAGTTCGACAAGCTGCCGATAAAGATAGTCAAGAAGAACAACCTGTTCGTGGTCGACCGGTCCGACAAGCTGGGCCGCGTGCAGGAGTTCAACAGCGGACTTCTGCACTGGCAGCTCGGCGGGGGGGACACCACCGAGCACATCCAGACTCACTTTGAGAGCAAGATGGAAATCCCTCCTCGGCGGCGTCCGCCGCCCCCCGTGAGCTCCACGGGCAGGAAGAAAGAGCAGGAAGGCAGAGGCGAGGCTGACGAGCAGCAGGAGAAGAGCATCATCGCGACCATCGACGACGTCCTGTCCGCTCGGCCGGGGGCGCTGCCGGAAGACGCGCACCCCGGTACCCAGACCGAGAGCAGCAAGTTCCCCTTCGGGATCCACCAAGCCAAAAGTCACCGGAACATCAAGCTGCTGGAGGACGAGCCACGGAGCCGAGACGAGACTCCTCTCTGCACCATCGCGCACTGGCAGGATTCTCTGGCCAAGCGCTGTATCTGTGTGTCGAATATTGTCCGTAGCTTGTCTTTTGTGCCTGGCAACGACGCCGAAATGTCCAAACATCCAGGCTTGGTGCTGATCCTGGGGAAGCTGATCCTTCTTCACCACGAGCATCCGGAGAGAAAACGAGCGCCGCAGACCTACGAGAAAGAGGAAGACGAGGACAAGGGGGTGGTCTGCAGCAAGGATGAGTGGTGGTGGGACTGCCTGGAGGTCTTAAGGGATAACACGTTGGTCACGTTGGCCAACATTTCCGGGCAGCTAGACTTGTCTGCTTACACAGAAAGCATCTGCTTGCCGATTTTGGATGGCTTGCTGCACTGGATGGTTTGCCCGTCGGCAGAGGCACAAGACCCCTTTCCCACGGTGGGACCCAACTCTGTCCTGTCGCCTCAGAGACTCGTGCTGGAGACCCTCTGCAAACTCAGCATCCAGGACAATAACGTGGACCTGATCTTGGCCACGCCTCCGTTTAGTCGTCAGGAGAAATTCTATGCTACGTTAGTTAGGTACGTGGGAGATCGCAAAAACCCAGTCTGTCGAGAGATGTCCATGGCGCTCTTATCGAACCTGGCCCAAGGGGACGCGCTGGCAGCACGGGCAATAGCTGTGCAGAAAGGGAGCATTGGAAACTTGATAAGCTTCCTAGAGGACGGGGTCACCATGGCCCAGTACCAGCAGAGCCAGCACAGCCTCCTGCACATGCAGCCCCCGCCTCTAGAACCACCGAGCGTGGACATGATGTGCAGGGCGGCCAAGGCTCTGCTGGCCATGGCCAGGGTGGACGAGAACCGCTCGGAGTTCCTCCTGCACGAGGGCCGGTTGCTGGACATCTCGATATCTGCCGTCCTGAACTCTCTGGTCGCGTCTGTCATCTGTGACGTACTGTTTCAGATCGGGCAGTTATGACACCCGTGAGAAGGCAGCATGTGTGCGTGAAGACTGGAGGCTCCCGTGTAACTGGCTGTTTTCTGTTCTTGTTTATCCAGCGTAGGAAGAAGGAAAAGAAAAGCTCTGCTCCTCTGCCCCATTCACTATTTACCAATTGGGAATTAAAGAAATAATTCGAACAGTTATGAAATTAATATTTGCTGTCTGTGTGTATAAGTACCTCCTTTTGGGGTTTTTTATTTTGGTTTTTTTTGTTTTTTTTTTTAACCAAAGTTGCTGTCTAGTGCATTCAAAGGTCACTTTTTGTTTTTCACAGATTTTCTTTTTAATGTTCTTTTCCATGTTGTATTGCATATTTTTTTTTCCTTTTTTTTGGGGGGAAGCAAATTGACTTTAACGAAAAAAAAAGTGGCAAAAGATGCTAAGGATGAGAAAATTTCACCACACTGAGGCAAAAAGGTGAAAAATTATCAACTTCCTAGGCATGTTATTCTTCAGATGATGGAAAAAACAAACTGTATCCCATCGCCCAAAGCTCTGTGCAATAGAAACTTCTAGAGATGTAGGGATAGGGGCTCAAGGAGGTGTGTCAGTCAGTAGTCAGACTATGAAATGATACTGGTTTCTCCACAGGAAAATGGTTACATTAGGCTAGGAGCAAAAACAATTTTTTTTTTTAAGTTAAGAATGAAAATACATACCTGACAACGATCAGTGGAAACTGCTTCCTCACCACTACCGTCATGTCTGCTGTCTGTCGTCTGACCTTCCACATGACAGTTCTTCACAATTCCTTTAATCATTTTTTAAATATTTTTTTTTTTACTGCCTATGGGCTGTGATGTATATAGAAGTTGTACATGAAACATACCCTCATTTTTTTCTTTTCTTTTCTCTTTTTTTTTTTTTGGTTTTTTTTTTTTGTTTTTTTGGCTTTTGTTTTTGTTTTTAGTACAAATTTTTTAGTTTCTTTTTCATGATGTGGTAACTACGAAGTGATGGTAGATTTAAATAATTTTTTATTTTTATTTTATATATTTTTTCATTAGGGCCATATCTCCAAAAAAAAAAAAAAAGAAAAAATACAAAAAACAAAAACAAACAAAAAAAAAAACAAAAAAAAGAGGGTAATGTACAAGTTTCTGTATGTATAAAGTCATGCTCTATTTCGGGAGAGCAGCTGATCACAATTTGCTTCATGAATCAAGGTGTGGAAATGGTTGCATATGGATTGATTTAGACTATGGTTACCAGTACAGACAAAAAAGAAACAAATACAACTAAAAAGAAGAAACACAACTTGAAAGATTTTTCAGTGACGAGAATCCACATTTGTATTTCAAGATAATGTAGTTTAAAAAAAAAAAAAAAGAAAAAACTTGATGTAAATTCCTCCTTTTCCTCTGGCTTAATGAATATCATTTATTCAGTATAAAATCTTTATATGTTCCACATGTTAAGAATAAATGTACATTAAATCTTGTTAAGCACTGTGATGAGTGTTCTTGAATACTGTCCTAGTTTCCTTACAGTGGTTTCACAGTAACCAACTCCTTCCCAAGAAATAAGGGAAAGCCCAGCCGTGTACTAACCGCGTCCTCATCCTGAAACCCCGAGGTCTGGAGGGACCTTTAGGGACTACCTACTTCAGAGTGGGGAGCAACACTTTGATTTTCTCAGATCATTTAGCTGATGAGTCTTCGTTTAAAGCAATCAACCCTAAGGACACTGAGGTGTGAGAATTTCCGGTGTGTATGGGCGGCGGCGGCTCAGCCCAGGAGCTCGCTGGCCTGATGATGTACTCTCTGCCTTTTCCTAACCCCATCTTGATTTGACTCGGTTCAGTCTCGTCCATGTCTTTTCTGCGTGCCTCGGAGGTATTTTGCATTTAGTTTACTCCGCTGTGTATAACCTTTATATTGTGCAATGTTAAAAAGACGATGTTCTATTATATGTGGTGTACATAGTGCAAAGTGATTATTTCTATTTCAGGGCATATTAATATTCTCGTGTTCCTTCCTACCTGGTGCACAGTAGCTTTTTAAAACCAGTCACTTCAAATTTGAACTTTTTCTTCCTGGGTCCTTGACTGTTCTCGTGTAACACTCCATTTCTTTGAAACTGCTGCAGAATTAAGGTGTTAGCGGACTCCCCTCTGACGCTGCCTCTCCACCACCCTGCCAGTCCCAGCACACTCAGACACCCCCAGTCCTCTCGCCAGACCCATTGCCCCAGGGGTCGCACCCGGAAGAGTTAGACAAGAGCACACAGCTGCGACCAGCGTGTGAAACGTGACTCTAGTGTCATGAGAAACAGATTTTTCTGCGAGCAGTGTCCTCCTCTGTCAGCCCTCACCTTACTTAGTCCCGTGGTCTTCATACTTAACAATGCAGCCAAATACATGTTGAATTAAAAACCCACGTATAAGTCTACTTTAAGTACATCTGCGTGCTAAGAACAGATTTTAGCGCTCCGAGCTTCAAATGCGAAGATTTGTACGAGGGAACTCGATAGGAATCTAACCGCTCTCTTAACCAGAGCGTGAATAAAAGGCGTACCCAGACTCTGAAAGTCCTCTAACACCCCGATTCCTTTGTCACTCGAAAAAGTAAAATCATTACAAAAGACTGTCGTTTTCATGGTTTGCGTTGTAATCAGTACCTAGAGTCTGAGCGTTGCGCCACAAGTTTTTACATGCTGATATGCAACGAAACCTCCTGAATAATCCAGGAAGACTTTAGCATCCTTTCTCCAGTCACCCCAGAACCAAGACCACAGCAGCCCACGAAGAGCGTCCAGCCTGCCTGAGATCAACCTGCCTACAAACGGAGTCATTGCTTTGTCCTAAACATTAGTTGGTTTTTTTTCCCCCATGAGGCTTTTCAGAAATTTACAGGATGCCCATACTTTAAATGTGTACAAAAAAAAAAAAAAAAAAAAGATAAAAATAAAGGTGCAAAGAAAGTTTAGTATTTTGGAATGGTGCTATAAAGTGGAATCTGTTGGTATTTGAGTGCAATTTTTTATTGTCACATAAGAGCTATCTGGTGGCATGTACCCAGAAATAACTATTCACGGTGTTTTGTTTGAGGTTGAGAATGACAGAGAATCCATTTTCATTGGCAAATCTGGCCTCTTCAGAAACTAGTTTCACTGTTTTTGAAAAGTTATAATAGAGAATGGCTGTTGGGGGGAGGGATGAGCCGTTGGAGGGTACAGTGCAAGCTATTAACTACCTCTTTTATGGAAAGAATCTGGCCTTTGCCCTGAAATCCATCCATTTAAAAACTGTTGGAAATCTTTCTTTTCCTGTCAAACCCCATGGACCAATTCCCATTATCTGTTCACCTGCGAAGCAGAGAAGGTATTATAAATGAGCCACAAATGACAGTCCAAACAACCCGTTTTCTTCTTGCTGAGCTGTGTTTCACTTCTCTCTCGGAGAGCGGAAGGCCAGCCGCCCGACGGCCCTGCCCTCTGCCCCCTGCCCCCGTCAGCCCCACGGAGAAACTCCTAGTCAGGCGAGCTTTCAGAAATGCCGAGAAATGTCTCCGGTGACAGTGTATAACCCGCTAAGATGTCTCCTTAGTCATCAACTCAGCAGAGAGGCGTCGAGCACACGCGGCGCACCCAGCCCTGTTCTAGGCTCCCAGGAGTCCCTTGTGAACAGAGACCCTGTCGCAGGACAGGCTTTGGGGTCAGACGATGACAGAGGGTGACACTGAGGGCATTTTTGTTGACTAAAAAACTAAGGCTCTCACTGTAGCACCTCCGAGTGCGGTGAGAAGAGCTCCGGACTGAAAATCAAGGGGACTGAGGCGAGGCTCAGAGCCGGGCTGGCCTGCCAACACCAGGAAAACCCGCCTCCAAGGCCGCTCCAGCTCCAGAATGTGAGTCTACAGCCTGGGCCCTTCCCTGCTCACGCTCACGTCAGGTCACGTGTGTGTTCTGGAGTGGGGGCCACAAAGCCACCACGGGAGCCTGGGGCCCAGTGACTCCAGGCCTCTGGGTGAGCCCTTGGCAATGTAGGAATCGACCAAAACTCTTGGAAGACCTAATCGAGGACTTTTTTGTCCTTAAGTCCCACAGACCCTCCCATGTGCCCGGGCCCATCTGTCTCCTGTTGCCACACTCCCTGCTTCTGTCCCGACTCCCCCGTCCTGCTTTGTTTGACGACACTCCAAGCCCTCCAGAACACCGCAGTCCCCATTACCACGTTAATTCACTCTGGGAGGTAAACATAGGAAACCCTGAGGGGAAGCTGGGGCAAGACCGGCAGCCGTGTTCTTCCTGAGTCTGATTTCAGGGACTTGAAGTTTTACCCCGGCTTCTTCGAGGCATATTCTAAGAAACAGAAGAGCGATCGCAAAAAACAAAAACCACCCAAAACTCCTTACACGTTCCCCTCTGGGCCATCTGTACCCTGTATGATCGTGGTTAAGACTGAGAAATCCTGCAGAAGAGAAGCCTGTTTATCCCAAACATTTTCTGACTTAATTAACCTTGGAACCTTCTTTTTTTCCCCGATGAACTTGGCCGCTTTGGTGGATTAACCGCGTTAGCCGAAGAGCCCGCCTCCCTCCCCAAGCTCCCACAGGGCGCTATCCCTTACACTGAACTTGCAGGGTCCTCCCTGGGGGAGCCCGTGAAGCTTTCTCTTGCTGTCTCGGTGACCTTGAGCAAGGTGCTTAAATTCATTGCGCCTCCATTTCTTGACCCATAATACGGGGTAATGCCGACCTCGGGACTGGTGAGGATTGAAGGAGATAATTCTACAAAGACCTGATAACCTGCCTGATCGCTGTGTGTTCCCCCTGAACGCACACTCACACACACACACACTCTTCCTTCGGTGGGTGCTGTCAAGCATGTTTCACGGAAGTTTAAAATCTCCCTTGAGAGGCTGTCTTCCTGTCTTCATAACCAGCCACACGGTTTGTGTGACTTTGTTGGTTTCGGTTTTCTCGAAAAACCATAAAGCCTTAGTCGGTTGACAGCCTGTGTCTAGCAGGCAAGGTGATTGTGCTAAATTTCTCTAACGCAGGTCAGTTTGGGGTCTCGGACCTCCAGAGGCGGTGGCAGACCTCACCTGTGACGTCCCAGGCCTCAGGGGCAGGGAGGCGTATTCGAAGGACAGTCGTCCTTTCCTGCCCTCCTCGAATAAAATGGTGGCTAGCAACGTCTTCCAGAGGCCAGATGTGGCAGGTGACCGAATGCAACTTTTCTGTTCGCTTTGCTGTTCCTTTTCCTCTGGCGAGGAGGGCTTTCCTCGACAAAAGGAACTCTAGTCTTCCCACGGAGCTGGAGACAGGCCAGTTTCTGGGGCCTACCACAAAGGAACTCGGGGCGCTCTTACTTTCCATGCGGG